GGACCCCCTCAAGGGTTGCAACGGGTGACACTCCCATATAAATAATACTGCAACGTTGACGCTCGTGTTTCTTAAGCCATTTAATTGATAGACCTGGTAATATTTCGAAGGCAACTTCTGGTGCATCTCCAAACAAGACTTCAATAATAATTGTAGAAAGATCAGGTAAAGCATTCAAGTTATCTTTTATATCATTGAATTCAGTAACCAAATTTAAACTAACATTTATTAATGCTGGACGACTCAATAACATATGACCTGGGTTTTCTGGCAGGGGAGCGACTAACACACTTTTTCGTTTTGATGGGATATAAGCCCCGAGTACGACCCCACTATTTATTATCTTAGTTAAATTATGTCCCTTACCCATCATCACATATGATGGGGTAATGACCATTTTCAGTAGCCACTCGATTTTTGCTTCGACCAATAGTCCATTTATTATCATCATTGCCAGTAAGATTGTATGAAGTGTTTTTATTGAGTTTACTAACATCGGCATCCCTTAAATCTCCTAGATTAGCTGTGAATGTAACTTCTTTCCACTTGTATACATTATCTTGTAAGTGTAAAGCGTATAACTTGCCATCTGTACGGGCTTACCAAATATCCTTCTGTGTCTCCTAGATCGGAAAGCGCAATTGTACTACATTGTTTAAGGTTATGCAATCCAGGGCCTGATGAATCAACCATTATTTATAATATGGAGCGTTACACTCAAGTATCCTATATGTACAGCTTGGTGTTTTACATCTATTACAGAAATTTTTAGGTCTGAAATAATACCCCGCTTTAATTTTTATTATTGTAATGGTGAAAAAGATTTCGTTCTACCGCTATAATATTTTTCATCTTTGACTGGAATAGCTCTTAGCAGAGTTGAAGGACTTTCTAGTTGTATATTATCCGTTGTACTGTTCTGGTCAAGATGGATGCACAACGCTTTATAGGGAACTAAATCGGGCAATTTAACTCCATGCAATGTATTGTTGGGTGGTATTATTATTACTCCTACTCCGCAGGCACATCCAAGTGTATCTGCTAAGCCCCATCAAAGAAATACTTCCTCTTCTCCAGCGCTTAAAATAAGCATCCCATTCGACTCATTTTTTGTGGGACTCATTTTGTGTGACTCCCAAAGGCTTAAAAATTTCATCATTGAGTGAGCATACGCTGTAATACCCATCAGATATAAAGCGATTTTCTACATCTCCACTTATAAAAAACTCATTATTTCTTCTCGCAGAATTTATATTGGTCCACTTTCGCCCCTTTCGGAAACACATTAAATGGCCTGGCCGGGCCGTGTGCGAAATACACATCAGTCGGAAAGCGCACGTTAAATCTCCAAAGTAAGTAAGTAAGTAATATTGGTCCACAGCGGGTAATACATTACATGGCATAGATCGACTTCAAGTTAACCAGCCGAGTTATCGATAGTATGAAGCAGTTGAATAGACTGGCCATTTGTTATTCCTGGGAGTGTAACATACATATTAAATATGCAAAGATACTATACCATAACTTAAATATGAAATCAACTTACATTACGAATCAGTCAATTTTAGTAAGTGCCTCTGGTGCTATTTTTTGGGTTAAATTCCCTGATATCTTTGAAAAATACAGGGTCACCTCAACTAGCAATAAAATGGTGCATGATTGGTTCCACAATCCAATGCAAGTTTGACAAAACCAGTTATACTTTGCCGTATGGTGTGCCACAACAGGATGTGGTGTATCTCTTTATGCCCCAGGATTTGAACTAAATAAATCTGTTTTATTATTTCATGTGTACTATCAGATTAGACGTATAGATTCACTTAGGTGGTCGGCTAGATACAAACTTTATGTAAGATTACATAATATTTTCTTAAAAACTCATAATTGGTATCACAACTGGCAACTTTTTAATAACGATTGGAGGGAAGATATTATGAGTTTTAAGAGTGGCTTGCCTTATATTGTTACAAAGTTTGTGCAACTGAACGATACAACAGATACTTGGAATCAATTTCTTAATGATAAAACAGAAAAAATTGTTACTAACCCAGGAGTTGTAAGAGTTAATGAATCAATAAGAACTTATGTATGGGCAATTCTCGGTGCACAATCGCAAACACGAACGGGAATAATTGGTTCTGGGACGGCACTCAATGCGCAAAAACAGTTTGTCGCAAACGTAGAGGATGCTATTAATTCACCAGTTGACATACCATCTTCTATAAAACGTTATCAAGATGTATTACAGTACGTGGTCCGTATTATTATCTAGTATCGAGATCAAGGAAAGTAATGTAAAACGGAGACAAGCCTCGTCCAGCTTGTTTCCAGTTTGTTTCCAACGGCCCTTTTCAGGGCCACCAATCTCTCCCGAAAGAAGGCTTTCATCCTTTGCTTTGCCAATACAAACAACAACCCAAAAGAACCCACACCCTCCTCAGTCCTCTTGGAGGTACACGCCTACGAGTGACACCACGCCTCTGTATGTATGTATGTATGTATGTATGTATGTATGTATGTATGTATGTATGTGTACACGAGTGGCATCACGTTTGCATGGACACACGAGTAAAACACCACGTATGTCTATCGATCTCTCTCTATCCTTATAAATATAAATATTATGAATAAAAGTATTTATAAACGTCAGTTTGAAGACACACATGACACCCCGCTTGCATGGAGACACGCGTGACACCACGTTTGCATGGAGACACGAATGGTAGCACACATGTAGACATACACGAGTGCCAACACCTAGGCGTGGATGAACGAGTGACAACATCACGCATGTCTATCGATCTATACCTCTATTCTTATCCATATAAATATTATAAATAATAATATTTGTAAACGTCTGTTTGAAGACTAGAGTAAAACACCACGTTTGCATGGAGACACGTGTGACACTACGTTTGCATGGAGACACGAAGTACATCACGTTTGCATGGAGACACGCATGACAGTACGCATGTAAACTCACGAGTGCCATCACCTCAGCGTGGATGAGCGAGTGACAACGTCATAATCATATTTATAAACGTCTGTTTGTAGTCACGCGTGGCACCACGTTTTGCATGGAGACACGCGTGACACCATGTTTGCATGGAGACACGAAGTACATCACGTTTGCATGGAGACACGAAGTACATCACGTTTGCATGGAGACACGCATGACAGTACGCATGTACACATACACGACTGCCAACTCCTCGGCATGGATGAGCGAGTGACAACGTCATAATCATATTGATAAACGTCTGTTTGAAGACACGCGTGGCACCACGTTTACATGGAGAGACGTAGTACATCACGTTTGCATGGAGACACGTAGTACACCATGTGTGTTTGAAGACACGAAGTACACCACGTCTGTTTGAAGACACGCGTGACAGTACGCATGTAGGCATACACGAGTGCCAACTCCTCGGCGTGGATGAACGAGTGACAACGACATAATCATATTGATAAACGTCTGTTTGTAGTCACGCGTGGCACCACGTTTGCATGGAGACACGAAATACATCACGTAGGCATACCTACATCACGTTCATGTCTGTGCATGTCGATTCACCTTTAGAATTCAGGCGTCCGTTCCACAACATGATCGTAGCGCTAAGGTGATCGCCACTCACCTACTTTAACTTAGACGAACGAGTGTCATTGCGCTACGATACGATAGCCTTGTGGAACGAGACCTTCCACCTCAAAGTTTACAATCACATCATGACATGATTTGTGGAATTTTGTTGCAAGATCCTTCGCCGATGTTACGTCAACCTAGCAACAAAGTTGCTGGGTCATCGACTGTGTATAAGCTCGTCTCAGTGATCTATCATCTCCACACGCAATCGCCACACCAGTAAGTGTCCTGTCAGGTTTAGTTGGTTGGTTGGTTGGCTTGTTGTTTTACGCCGCACTCAGCAATATTCCAGCTTTATGACGGCGGTCTGTAAATAATCGAGTCCGGACCAGACAATCCAGTGATTAATATCATGAGCATCGATCCACGCAAATGGGATCGATGACATGCATCGACCAAGTCAGCGAGCCTGACCACCCGATCCCGTTAGTCGCCTTTTACAACAAGCATAGTCGCCTTGTCCTGTCAGGAGACAGGTGGCAGGCCATCCGTGCCTTTGCACCACAGCACCTATGTGGTTGAGGGAGAAATCTTCTTCTTCTCCAAAACGGCACTTTTCAGGGCCACCCATCTCTCCCGAAAGAACGCTTTCATCCATTGCTTTGACTACCCTCAAACCAAAACAAAGAACCCATCTCCTCCTCCCTCCCTCCCTCCACCACCACTACCACCACATCCACCTCCCTCCACCAACACCACTTTTTTTAAACAAATAGAAAAAAAATAAAAGAGGAGGATTTTACGCGCGCTTCTTATGGCCTTCTCCCCGGAACCGGATGCGCCGCCCTCTTGGAGGTGCGCACGCCTCCCGGAACCGGACGTGACGCCATTTTGGATGCGTGTGTACCTCCTGAACCGGAAGTGACGTCATCGTATTGCCAGAGTTATCTCCCCCTGGTCCTGAAGTAGGGCTACCAACTACTATTACCAAATTTGATGGATAAGACAAAATATATAGTTCACTACAGAATTCTCCAGTTATATCTATCGTTAGGTATGAAACTAAAGAAAATACACAGAGTTCTAAAATTTATATTTGCCACATCGCCACCAATCCTTGGCCACATCTTTAGATACCTTAGCCGCCATGACTAATTTTGTATTGCTCCTATACCTTTCCAATATACTCGTGGGCTATAGTAAATGTTATCCATTATTAATTAATATTGATGTTTCTTTTAATACGAATCATGACGATCGTGGAATAGCATTATCATTTTTGCATAAAATATTCCCTCTGTAGTAGCAGTATAGGTATATAAATCTGGCTCCAGTGGAGTTGCGACAGAACCCTCATTACCTATACTACTCCTTGCACTGAAATAGATTTCTAAACAGCCTGCACATAAACTAGTGTGTATTGCGCATGTATGGTTACTGAGAAGAACGCCCGTATATGGACTTGGTGTTGTTTCGTGGAAGTGCCATTCCTTTTCCCGGAATGGGAGACACCGCCCCAATTTGCTCGCTAGGTGTCGCAAATGTACTAGTGGTTAGCTTTCAAAGTGGCTCGTATCGAAGATTCACTCGACCGGATTAGTACGGCGGTAGTCCCCATTACGACTTTGGAGCTTGTCATGTGATATATGGTATTGATTCGGGATTTGTTGTGTCGTTGCCGTGAGTGCCAGCTGCGTAGAAGCACCTACCAGATGTACCCGACACGGAAGTGAATTACATTGATGACATTTTATGCGCTAGACAGGTAAGATATCATGTTTGGGCACTTTGACATTGTAACGTTGTTCATGAGGTGTCGTTTATGATAAGAACAAATTGTCCCTTGGACTGGAATCTGCCCTTCAGGCATGGTAAGGAACAGCATGTACCATTGCCTCAGGAAGATGGTCGAAAGTGTGTGTAGATTATGATACCATGTACGATAATATAGAGCATGCGATGATATAGAAGAGTCATACAATAATTCCTGAGGCATGGATGATTGGGGCATTGTGACATGGTAGATATGTCAGTGTAACATGGTAGATATGTCAGTGTAACATGGTAGATATGTCAGTGTGACATGGTAGATATGTCAGTGTAACATGGTAGATATGTCAGTGTAACATGATAGATATGTCAGTGTAACATGGTAGATATGTCAGTGTGACATGGTAGATATGTCAGTGTATCATGGTAGATATGTCAGTGTGACATGGTACATGTCAGTGTGACATGGTAGGTGTGTCAGTGTGACATGGTACATGCCAGTGTGACATGGTACATGTCAGTGTAACATGGTAGATATGTCAATGTAACATGGTAGATATGTCAGTGTGACATGGTACATGTCAGTGTGACATGGTAGATATGTCAATGTAACATGGTAGATATGTCAGTGTGACATGGTACATGTCAGTGTGACATGGTAGATATGTCAGTGTGATATGGTAGATATGTCAGTGTGATATGGTAGATATGTCAGTGTAACATGGTAGATATGTCAGTGTGACATGGTAGATATCCCAGTGTGACATGGTACATGTTAGTGTGACATGGTAGATATGTCAGTGTGACATGGTAGATATGTCAGTATGACATGGTACATGCCAGTGTGACATGGTAGATATGTCAATGTAACATGGTAGATATGTCAGAGTGACATGGTACATGCCAGTGTGTCATGGTACATGTCAGTGTGACATGGTAGATATGTCAATGTAACATGGTAGATATGTCAGTGTGACATGGTACATGTCAGTGTGACATGGTACATGTCAGTGTGACATGGTAGATATGTCAGTGTGATATGGTAGATATGTCATGGTGATATGGTAGATATGTCAGTGTAACATGGTAGATATGTCTGTGACATGGTAGATATCCCAGTGTGACATGGTACATGTTAGTGTGGCATGGTAGATATGTCAGTGTGACATGGTAGATATGTCAGTGTGACATGGTACATGCCAGTGTGACATGGTAGATATGTCAATGTAACATGGTAGATATGTCAGAGTGACATGGTACATGCCAGTGTGTCATGGTACATGTCAGTGTGACATGGTAGATATGTCAATGTAACATGGTAGATATGTCAGTGTGACATGGTACATGTCAGTGTGACATGGTACATGTCAGTGTGACATGGTAGATATGTCAATGTTACATGGTAGATATGTCAGTGTGACATGGTAGATGTCAGTGTAACATGGTAGATATGTCAGTGTATCATGGTAGATATGTCAGTGTGACATGGTAGATATGTCAGTGTGACATTGTACATGTCAGTGTGACATTGTAGATATGTCAGTGTGACATGGTACATGTGTCAGTGTGACATGGTAGTTATGTCAGTGTGACATGGTACATGTCAGTGTAACATGGTAGATATGTCAGTGTGACATGGTAGATATGTCAGTGTGACATGGTACATGTGTCAGTGTGACATGGTAGTTATGTCAGTGTGACATGATACATGTCAGTGTAACATGGTAGATATGTCTGTGACATGGTAGATATGTCAGGGTGACATGATACATGTCAGTGTAACATGGTAGATATGTCAGTGTGACATGGTAGATATGTCAGTGTGACATGGTACATATGCCCCTATGTGATAGAGTTGCACCAGATATGAATCTGTGTTGATGTTACTGAACTTTGCAATATATTCATTTAGAGCTTCGGCCCTCAAGGCTGATATGGGAGTCTCAGGTTGATATGGGGGCCTGTGAAGATCCAGGGTAGAATAGGTCTTCAGCAACCCATGCTTTCAGTAAAAGGCGACTATGCTTGTCAGTCGAGTGGTCATGGTTGATGCATGTCATCATATCCCAATTGCATGGATCGATGCTCATGATGTCACTCACTGGATTGTCTGTTCAAGACTCGATTACTTTCAGACCGTCGTCATAGAGCTGAAATATTGCCGAGTGCTGCGTTAAACAACAAACAAACAAAGAAATCTTATTTATCTGCTTTAATTCCAGATACAAGGAGTGACGTTTTTGATGTAGCACAGTGGTGAGCCATCCAAGGAGGCTAGCCATGAGTCAAGGTAGGTGGGAGTCTAGTCAAAATGACAGCAGTTTTAGACAGGTTATGTGCCAAACATTTATTGTGAAGTGTTTATTTCAAAAAGCAACCTATGTATCAAATGTTTTTAGTTGACTCATCATGCTGATAGTGAGAGACCTGCTATTTGATATTCTGCTTCAAAGGTGGAGCTGATCTATGTAATGTTTTAGGATACAGTGCATGTCAAGTTCACAATATATTTTGTGTCTAAAATCTATATATTTGTTTTCAACCTTTATCTGGACCATCATTTTTCTTTATAAATGTTGTGTGTGCTTGCATTCATGCATGTTTGTACCAGTGAAAACTATGCCTAAGCTACTAGTGAAGGGGATTGTGCTGAATTTGGTATCTGTATTTATTGCAATAATGATTTATGTATTGTGATACATAGCACAAAATACTGCATGTTCGTTCATCTGTAATTGGTTATGAACCTGAATAGAAAATATAATACACTCATTCTTTTACAATTTCATATTTTGTGGGATGTTGCTATGGCCACAGATGAAGTGATAGTCACATTATATATAGGAAACAAGTCGTTAAAGTTTCACTTTTTCTATGACAGTTGCGAATTTCATAATTTCAATTTGTTGTCCATTGTTGTAGATATGCATGATTTTAAAAAACGCATCATTCCATTTTTTTCCAAACGTATTGTGATATGTTTTCATTGGTATTTCATATCACGGTGTATATTCTGAAGGGGGGTAGATTTTGGCACCTTACACTGGTATACCGGTAATATTGTGCACATCTGCAAGTGACATGATAGACCTGGCAGAATCAGACATTCATGATTCCTTCTGCTATCTAAATGGTTTAGTCCAGTCAAGTGAATTCCTACTACTATCATGGAATTATTATGATTCCGTTCAGATGAACAAAACCGTCCAAATGGCGTGCTGGTTTTCTTGGGGGAATTAGTCAGCAAAGAGCCGGAGTCACAGGAGACTAATCACAATTTTATTTACAAGAACAATTAACAATCAGCAATTAACAATATCTCAGAAAATAGCTGAGGGTACCACAGAGAGTTGGTACAACCCTCCGGGCTGTGAGAGAGAGATCTGCTTGGTATGAGCGTCAAACCCCTTCTGCCTAACAATTTGCTTCAGTATGTATTTAACAAAAATTAGAACAATAAAAAGGAATATGATTGGTTGATACACGATGGGTTGTGCCCTATGCTAAATGAATGGCTAGACAGAGGTGAATACTTAATCCTGTTAATCCTGTTGGCACTAATCTTGTTGACATATTTACTGGGTGCTTGGAAAGAGATTATGGTATCACTATAGACAAGCTTGTATGGGGGCTAATCCTTAATGGGTCTAAATCGAAGTAATTGCTGAATGTTATTCTAATATAGGTGATGAGAGATTTACTTAAATAAAATAGTTCAAGGCTATCTATAAGACTATGTAGACATATATTTTGTCTGGGAGGTGGGATCTTGATACCTTAGGCTAGCATTTATCTAAAAGCTTCAAATCAATTAAACTATGTAGACATAACTCTTGTTTTATTGAATAGTATGTCTAGGAGATGCGCTCCCATTACCTTAGGCTAGCATCTATCTAAAAAGCTATAACTGAAACTACTGATATTTTATATATGCATTTTACCTGATGATAAGTATTACTTGCTAAACTATAATTATATGAAATGATGTATAAATATACTAGCCACATAAAGTAACTGTGCACGGAGAAAATATATTCTGGATTGAAATACAACACAGCAAGAACAAAATGATGCAGTCGCTGTAGCAGCTGAATGATCGGACCATAAGAAAATGTCAACGGGACCTGAACAACATCTGTTACGATGACGTCAGAAGATCAAAATGGAGTAGGGGGTCAAACGACAAAGTCACAAAGTCAATAACGGGTATGACCACCCTGTGCGTGAATCACAGCAGTGCATCGGCAATGCATGGAGTCCACCAAATGGGCATGGAAGGCCTGGGGAATGGCCTGCCATATCCTCCTCAAATCCTGTGCCAAGTCACGGACGTTATCTTGAGGATGTGGAAGAGGACGCAGACGGTGCTCCATTTCATCCCACACATGCTCTATTGGGGAGAGGTCCGGAGAATTTGCAGGCCATGGCAGTAACATGACATTGTTATGGTGAAGGAAATCCATTGTGACCCTAGCCGTGTGAGGACGAGCGTTGTCCTGTTGAAATGTCAATCCCGGGCCATGACGTTGCAGGAAAGGAATGACCACAGGCCTCAGAATCTGATCTCTGTAGCCAACACCGGTGAGATTGCCCTGAACAACCACCAAAGGGGTTCGGTGCCGTTTCGATGGCATTGGAAATGTGTTGCCACCTGTTGTTGCCTCATTCCCGCTCGGATCATTCCAATGGCTTCATGACACTGTGCAGCTGTCAATCTTGGCATGATTTGCTTGTGATATGCTTGTGTCTGCGCCTGAGAAGTTTTGAATTTTTGAATGACCACAGATCATGCTTTCCAAAGTGACAGCGAATTTTGAGTTGCACATGCTGTGTACAGCTGCACAGGATGCACGTGCAGTAACACATTGCACGTCCATAGGCCCCCATCAATTACGTCATATCGCATGGCACGTGCATGAGTGTTTGAATGTCTTCAATAATTGCTGTGTTCAAACCTATATTTCATATATGGACGGTGTGCCCTTATATCTATATTTTCTCCGTGCACAGTTTCTTTATGTGGCTAGTATATTACACCATGATAACTCATAAAAGCACTTGATGTGGATCTAATTATTATAGGAAAACTTAGTATAAATGTTATATCATGATACTACAGTGAGCTTTCGATACAATGCTCCTCCATGTAATGCTACCTTGGATGCAGTGCAGGGCATCCATTGGTAGGTCTGGGACAAGTCCAGATTTACTACCCGGGAACCCAACCCCCTACCACTGATCCTACCCGGGTACCCAATGGAGGTCTCAAGAGATAGGTCCAAATGTTCAACTGGGAATAGTTTGACTGCAGATACACGTCATTCATAAACTGAAGTTGACTGAAGTTTTATCTTTATTCATACATATAAAGTCAGAAGGATTGTGTGCATAGTCAAAAAGAAATGCAAACATTAGTCGCATATACTGTAACCGTATAGTTCTAGATAATTTCTTGTCATTGAACAATATATCACGTGACTAACCACGGGTCCGGGTAGTCCTGTGGGTACCCGGCTCCTACTCAGTGCCATCCCGACCCTAGTACCCGAGTTACCCGTCCCAGCCCTATCACTAGGTCTTCAGCAACCCATGCTTGCCTTAAAAGGCGACTATGTTTGTCATAAGAGGCGACTTACCATATCGGGTGGTCATGCTTGCTGACTTGGTTGATGCATGTCATCGATCCCAAATTGCGTGGATTGATGCTCATGATATCAATCACTGGATTCTTTGGTCCAGACTTGATCATTTACATACCACCTTCATCTACCTGGAATATTACTGAGTGTGGCGTTAAAGAACAAACCACCCTTGGCACCCCAAAATTCATCAACAGTTCCCCTAAAATGTGTGACCATCGAGTGAAAGTGAGAAATAAACTGATGAGATTTTATTCCCAGTCACAGTAATTGTAAAACAAGTACATTTGTGATATGCGGCTGCATGTGATCATAACTATTCTGCAGTTTGCTTTGGTTGTGAAACACATAAATCTGTATATACTGCAATAGAATCCAAAACAACAACCAAGCCTTTGTTTTTTGAATAGCATAATTACGAAGGGTCTCACACAAATCTGTGTTGGTTAGTCTTGATAATTTCACTAAAGGCAACCACTGCTACTAAATGTAAGCGACAGGCATGCAGTATTCAAGACAAATTAGAGGTTTTGAAGCAGGTCAGAGAAGGTGATTCCCAGGGATTCCTGCAGGGCCCCTGTTTGGATCGATGCTCATGATGTCGATCACTGGATTGTCTAGTCCAGGCTCAATTATTTACAGACTGCCATCATATAGCTGTAATATTGCTGAGTGTAGCGTTAAACAACAAACAAACAAATCTTATTTCATCATACTTCCCTGTGTTTGAGTTTGATGCATCAGTAGAGCCCATTAGACCCAGTATATGTACTGTACAGTGCTACTGACTCTTATCTAGGAGTGATTGAACTTTGCCAGTTAGATGTCTTATGAATTATATCCTCCAAATGTAGCTCTCCTTCACATCGCATGAGCTTGTGTCTCTGATTATCGTTCGTCCATCAGTCATTACATCTGAAAACTAACATCTCTTCACATAAATTTACTACTGAACCTATCAATAGATGTAAACAGTTCATGTTCTACATATCTTTGGCTACTTAATTAAAAGACATTTCATTTGGAAAAATATAATATGGCTAACAGAGCAGCTATTTTAAAAAAATACAGCCTTCACACCAGCCCCTTGTTCTCAGAAGCCATGAGACATATTGTCAGCTAACCTGGTCCTCAGGCTTATGCCATTATGGCATAACATGGCATCTGGCGGCCGTCCATTGTCCGTCCGTCGTCCATCCATTGTCTGTCCGTATGTCAACAACTTCTTCTTCTGAACCACTAATTGGAAATAAATGAAATTTGACTGGAAGCATCCCTAGGTGGTGGGGATTCGAAATTGTATTAATGGAGGGGCTGACCCCCCAAGGGGCTGAGGGGCGGGGCCAAATAGGGGTAATTTGGCTATATTGCTTTAAGCGACTTCTCCTCTGGAACTAAGAGATAGATATCAACCATATTTGGGTGGAAGCATTCTCCAGTGGTGGGGATTTAAAATTGTATAAATAGAGGTACTGACCCCCCAAAGGACTGAGGGGCGGGTCCAAATAGGGGTAATTTGGCTATATTGCTTTGTCCGTCCGTCGTCCATCCATTGTCTGTCCGTATGTCAACTTCTTCTTCTTCTGAACCACTAATTGGAAATAAATGAAATTTGACTGGAAGCATCCCTAGGTGGTGGGGATTCAAAATTGTATAAATGGAGGGGCTGACTCCCCAAGGGGCTGAGGGGCGGGGCCAAATAGGGGTAATTTGGCTATATTGCTTTAAGCGTCTTCTCTGGAACTAAGAGAAAGATATCAACCACATTTGGGTGGAAGCATTCTCCGGTGGTGGGGATTCAAATTGGAGAAATGGAGGGTCTGAACCCATAACATACAAACATAGCAATAACATATTATCCCCACCCTATAATAAACAGATACATTGTATACATTTGTTTGTTATGAAGAGAATAATACATTTATGCCAATAGGATTCGCCCTGGGGTCCAGCCTTGCCTCTGGAAACTTAGATCCTGGATCATAATATGGAAACGGTTCAGATCTTTATAAATATTATAAGAAGTACAAATTTCATGCAGTCTGATTTGCTATCCACCCCTTTTAAATGTTGACAGAGTCAAAATTACGAAATATTTGCAGTATTATATACATGTACAATGCAAATGTATATTTTGTCATGATTGAGTAAATATCCAGTTGAGCCTATGGGCCTCGTGTTTTAAAGTGTTTACAATGTTCCATTATATAAGTCACGAGTTAAAGTTGAGAACATGACCGCAAAAAATAAATAGAGATGCAAATGGAATGGTTGGTGAAATGATTTCAAAAGTTTTTCCAGTTGAATCTGCTTAATTCTTAAGTCATGCAGTTTGTGGCAAAGATTAAATCTTGTCATTTATTTATTGTTTGAAGGAAGTACACAACTGACTATTAACAAATCAAAATGTGAAATTTAATTACAAAGCATTTCTATTTGTTTAATGATGATGATATCTACAGGATCATCAGTACATCATCCTTAAGGCCACAAATACTAACAATCCAATTCATGTCCCATTGGATGCAAAAGAGTTTGGGTGTTGGAATGATTGAAACTATTTAATTAAAAACATGATGATGCTTGATTTATCTAACATTTCTCTTGTGACAAATAGTGTTGGGAATTTGTTGTAAAAACATGACTGATGACTGGAAATAGTGTCAATATGTTATTCTAACTTGTATATATTTCAGACTCCGAGTCTGATGATGATGGGTATAGGTGCATGGAGCTGCCCACCCTCATCAAGCAGCTCAAGTCCGTGATGGACCAGTACCCTGATGGTGGACAGATACTCAAGGTGAGTCCGTGCTGGACCAGTACCCTGATGATGGGCAGATACTCAAGGTGAGTCTGTGCTGGACCAGTACACTGCTGATGGGCACATATTCAAGGTGAGACCGTGCTGGACCAGTACCCTGATAATGGGCAGATACTCAAGGTGAGTCCGTGCTGGACCAGTACCCTGATGATGGGCAGATACTCAAGGTGAGTCCGTGCTGGACCAGTACCCTGATGATGGACAGATACTCAAGGTGAGTCTGTGCTGGACCAGTACCCTGATGATGGACAGATACTCAAGGTGAGTCTGTGCTGGACCAGTACCCAGATGATGGACAGATACTCAAGGTGAGTCTGTGCTGGACCAGTACCCAGATGATGGACAGATACTCAAGGTGAGTCTGTGCTGGACCAATACCCTGATGATGGACAGATACTCAAGGTGAGTCCGTGCTGGACCAGTACCCTGATGATGGGCAGATACTCAAGGTGAGTCCGTGCTGGACCAGTACCCTGATGATGGACAGATACTCAAGGTGAGTCCGTGCTGGACCAGTACCCTGATGATGGGCAGATACTCAAGGTGAGTCCGTGCTGGACCAGTACCCTGATGATGGACAGATACTCAAGGTGAGTCTGTGCTGGACCAGTACCCTGATGATGGACAGATACTCAAGGTGAGTCCGTGCTGGACCAGTACCCTGATGATGGACAGATACACAAGGTGAGTCTGTGCTGGACCAGTACCCTGATGATGGGCAGATACTCAAGGTGAGTCTGTGCTGTACCAGTACACTGCTGATGGGCAGATACTCAAGGTGAGTCTGTGCTGGACCAGTACCCTGATGATGGACAGATACTCAAGGTGAGTCTGTGCTGTACCAGTACACTGCTGATGGGCAGATACTCAAGGTGAGACCGTGCTGGACCAGTACCCCGATGATGGGCAGATACTCAAGGTGAGTCCGTGCTGGACCAGTACCCTGATGATGGACAGATACTCAAGGTGAGTCTGTGCTGGACCAGTACCCTGATGATGGGCAGATACTCAAGGTGAGTCCGTGCTGGACCAGTACCCTGATGATGGACAGATACTCAAGGTGAGTCCGTGCTGGACCAGTTCCCTGATGATGGGCAGATACTCAAGGTGAGTCCGTGCTGGACCAGTACCCTGATGATGGACAGATACTCAAGGTGAGTCCGTGCTGGACCAGTACCCTGATGATGGACAGATACTCAAGGTGAGTCTGTGCTGGACCAGTACCCTGATGATGGCCAGATACTCAAGGTGAGTCAGTGCTGGACCAGTACCCTGATGATGGGCACATACTCAAGGTGAGTCCGTGCTGGACCAGTACCCCGCTGATGGGCAGATACTGAAGATCGCACAACTCACAGCAACCAAGGTCAGAATACCGCTATTGACGCCTTGAAACGAACTTTAGTTGACAGAGAATGGATACATATATCATAAATGACATACTTTGACTCGTTAAAAGTCATATTTGTTTTTGTTTGACGATTCTATGTCAAAATGAAATTCTCGCGATCACGTGCGTGTGAGCCTTGACGGTGACTGGTCAGACCGGTTCCATGTAAAAAGTAATACCCGGGAATAGCGATCAGCTGCTTCGCTTAGGGTTATTATTATTTTAAATATGTTTAGTAAAGGCTGCATATAATGAAGAAAATAATGGAATATATTATTCCTGATAAAAAAAAAAGTTTCAGATATAATTGTTGCCGATCCTTGCATTAAAAATCCCATAAAGTTATATCATTGGGTGTGTCTTGACCGAATCACCGGTCGATTCCAAGAAAACGTGTGTACAGCTGATTGCTGTTTCCGGCTTAGTTTACGAGAAAATACACAAGGTAATCTTAATCCCTAGATATAAAACAATGCCAAGCAGAACAATAAATACTATTTAAACGGTAAATAAACATGTCTGGTGATTTTTTACCCCCATTATTGAATTTGTACTGACAAAGTTTCTCAGCACCCGTTTGTTTGCCGGACTTCGCTGAAAGGGTACGGTGTAAATTTTTTCTGCACATAGTATTCAAATTTCTTTTTTTTCAAAATATTGAACCCGTTAGAGGGGGGTGCGCATTATACATGGGTGCGCACTATACTCAAGAAAATACGGTACTGAAGGTGAGACCGTGCTGGACCAGTACACTGATGATGGGCACATACTAAAGGTGAGTCTGTGCTGGAGCAGTACCCTGATGATGGACAGATACTGAAGGTGAGACCGTGCTGGACTAGTACCCTGATGATGGAAGGATACTCAAGGTGAGTCTGTGATGGACCAGTACACTGATGATAGGCAGATACTCAAGTTGAGTCTGTGATGGACTAGTACACTGATGATAGGCAGATACTCAAGGTGAGTCTGTGCTGGACCAGTACCCTGATGATGGACAGATACTGAAGGTGAGACCGTGCTGGACTAGTACCCTGATGATGGAAAGATACTGAAGGTGAGTCTGTGATGGACCAGTACACTGATGATAGGCAGATACTCAAGGTGAGTCTGTGATGGACCAGTACACTGATGATAGGCAGATACTCAAGGTGAGTCTGTGCTGGACCAGTACCCAGATGATGGGCAGATACTGAAGGTGAGTCTGTGATGGACCAGTACCCAGATGATGGACAGATATTCAAGGTGAGTCAGTGATGGACCAGTACATAGATGACGGGCACATACTCAAGGTGAGTCCGTTCTGGACCAGTACCCTGATGATGGGCAGATACTCAAGGTGAGTCCGTACTGGACCAGTACCCCGATGATGGGCAGATACTCAAGGTGAGTCCGTGCTGGACCAGTACCCTGATGATGGGCAGATACTCAAGGTGAGTCCGTGCTGGACCAGTACCCCGATGATGGGCAGATACTCAAGGTGAGTCCGTGCTGGACCAGTACACTGATGATGGGCACATACTCAAGGTGAGACCGTGCTGGACCAGTACCCCGATGATGGGCAGATACTCAAGGTGAGTCCGTGCTGGACCAGTACCCTGATGATGGACAGATACTCAAGGTGAGTCTGTGATGGACCAGTACACTGATGATAGGCAGATACTGAAGGTGAGTCTGTGCTGGACCAGTACCCAGATGATGGGCAGATACTGAAGGTGAGTCTGTGCTGGACCAGTACACTGATGATGGGCAGATACTGAAGGTGAGTCTGTGATGGACCAGTACCCTGATGATGGGCAGATACTGAAGGTGAGTCTGTGATGGACCAGTACCCAGATGATGGACAGATATTCAAGGTGAGTCAGTGATGGACCAGTACATAGATGATGGACAGATATTCAAGGTGAGTCAGTCATGGACCAGTACCCTGATGATGGGCAGATACTGAAGGTGAGTCTGTGCTGGACTAGTACCCAGATGATGGGCAGATACTGAAGGTGAGTCTGTGCTGGACCAGTACCCCGATGATGGACAGATACTCAAGGTGAGTCTGTGCTGGACCAGTACCCTGATGATGGACAGATACTCAAGGTGAGTCTGTGCTGGACCAGTACCCTGATGATGGGCAGATACTCAAGGTGAGACCGTGCTGGACCAGTACACTGATGATGGGCAGATACTCAAGGTGAGACCGTGCTGGACCAGTACCCTGATGATTGGCAGATTCTCAAGGTGAGTCTGTGCTGGACCAGTACCCTGATGATGGACAGATAGTCAGTGTGAGTCAGTCATGGACCAGTACCCTGATGATGGACAGATACTCAAGGTGAGTCTGTGCTGGACCAGTCTCCTGATGATGGACAGATACTCAAGGTGAGTCTGTGCTGGACCAGTACCCTGATGATGGGCAGATACTCAAGGTGAGTCTGTGCTGGACCAGTACCCTGATGATGGACAGATACTCAGTGTGAGTCAGTCATGGACCAGTACCCTGATGATGGGCAGATACTCAAGGTGAGTCTGTGCTGGACCAGTCTCCTGATGATGGGCAGATACTCAAGGTGAGTCTGTGCTGGACCAGTACCCTGATGATGGACAGATACTCAGTGTGAGTCAGTCATGGACCAGTACCCTGATGATGGACAGATACTCAAGGTGAGTCTGTGCTGGACCAGTCTCCTGATGATGGGCAGATACTCAAGGTGAGTCTGTGCTGGACCAGTACCCTGATGATGGACAGATACTCAGTGTGAGTCAGTCATGGACCAGTACCCTGATGATGGGCAGATACTCAAGGTGAGTCTGTGCTGGACCAGTCTCCTGATGATGGGCAGATACTCAAGGTGAGTCTGTGCTGGACCAGTCTCCTGATGATGGACAGATACTCAAGGTGAGTCTGTGCTGGACCAGTACCCTGATGATGGACAGATACTCAGTGTGAGTCAGTCATGGACCAGTACCCTGATGATGGACAGATACTCAAGGTGAGTCTGTGCTGGACCAGTCTCCTGATGATGGGCAGATACTCAAGGTGAGTCTGTGCTGGACCAGTACCCTGATGATGGACAGATACTCAGTGTGAGTCAGTCATGGACCAGTACCCTGATGATGGGCAGATACTCAAGGTGAGTCTGTGCTGGACCAGTCTCCTGATGATGGACAGATATAATCAAAATGAGTAAACACTTTAGGATGACATGTCATCTTTATGTGACTAAAATCAAATCTTGTCACATCTGAAACTTTAAAACGCATTTATCCTTCAAGACGTCTGTCTCTACAAGATCAATATGGAGTGTGCCTTTGTTATTTTTACCAGGAGTTGATCCAGAATGCTGAAGATGCCAAGGCCAGTGAGATGAGAATACTGTATGATGTCAGACATATTGACCCTGATCCCAGACTACTGAAGAAGAAGCGTTACCTAGCCTCATTACAGGTGAACTTACTTGACAGAATGTCAGTGCAGTATCAGACTAAATCCATAGGGTAGCTCTTACCAGCTTTTGAGCATACGCCTATTGGCCATTAAAAACCAAATGGATGGAAATTTAACTACAGGATTAGAAGAATAAATGTTTTCAGTTTCAAAAGCAAACATTTCCATTAAAGTATACATACCAGGTAGATGTGAAATGAAAAGCTTTTAAATATAGTGGAAATTAATAATTGCTCTGAAATAGATATTCAGTTCTCATGGTTGAATGACCCCTGACCCCGGACAAACTGGCATCAATGCCTTGTTCACAGGTCATGTACTGTTTCAGGGCCCAGGCCTGTGTGTAAACAATGACATCCTGTTCACAAGTAATGAACTGAGTTATGTTTCAGATCCCAGGCCTGTGTGTGTACAATGCTGCCTTGTTCACAAGTAATGTACTGAACAATATTTCAGGCCCCAGCCCTGTGTGTACAATGCTGCCTTGTTCACAAGTAATGTACTGAGCTATGTTTCAGGCCCCAGCCCTGTGTGTATAAAATGATGCCTTGTTCACAAGTAATGTACTGAGCTATGTTTCAGGCCCCTCCCTGTGTGTGAACAATGATGCCTTGTTCACAAGTGATGTACTAAGTTATGTTTCAGGCCCCAGCCCTGTGTGTGAACAATGATGCCTTGTTCACAAGTAATGTACTGAGCTATGTTTCAGGCCCCAGCCCTGTGTGTGTACATGATGCCTTGTTCACAAGTAATGTACTGAGCTATGTTTCAGGCCCCAGCCCTGTGTGTGTACAATGCTGCCTTGTTCACAAGTAATGTACTGAACAATGTTTCAGGGCCCAGCCCTGTGTGTGTACAATGATGCCTTGTTCACAAGTAATGTACTGAGCTATGTTTCAGGCCCCAGCCCTGTGTGTCTACAATGCTGCCTTATTCACAAGTAATGTACTGAACAACGTTTCAGGCCCCAGACCTGTGTGTGTACATTGCTGCCTTGTTCACAAGTAATATTCTGAGCTATGTTTTAGGCCCCAGCCCTGTGTGTGGACCATGCTGCCTTGTTCACAAGTAATGTACTGAACTATGTGTCAGGCCCAAGCCCTGTGTGTGTACAATGATGCCTTGTTCACAAGTAATATTCTGAGTTGTGTTTACGGCCCCAGCCCTGTGTGTGTACAATGCTGCCTTGTTCATAAGTAATGTACTGAACAATGTTTCAGGGCCAAGCCCTCTGTGTGTACAATGATGCCTTGTTCACAAGTAATGTACTGACCTATGTTTCAGGCTCCTCCCTGTGTGTGTACAACAATGCCTTGTTCAAAAGTAATGTACTGAGCTATGTTTCAGACTCCTCATTGTGTGTGTACAATGATGCCTTGTTCACAAGTAAGCCCTGAGTTATATTTCAGGCCCCAGCCCTGTGTGTGAACAATGACATCCTGTTCACAAGTAATGTACTTTACAATGTTTCAGGCCCCAGCCCTGTGTGTGTACAATGCTGCCTTGTTCACAAGTAATGTCCTGAGTTATATATTACATTAAGTAATACGTTACCACTGTTATACCGAGGCTGTTGTCCCCCACAACTGCTCTTATAGCGAAATCTTCCACAGAGATGTCCATTACCTCATGCAGCACGTGCGTAGCCACCTAGCTGCCATGTGAAACCCCTCACTCTTTTCTCTTCCCTTGCCTCAGCAAGACGTACAAAGACTGCTGTGAGCGTTCCAGTTTTCTCCATCCTTTGGTGATATTTATTACTGTTTTTTACTTGCATATAAACTGTATCTATTGAGGGCGTTGCTTTAACTGAGCTCGGAAGTATTTTTCACGCCAAAAGGAAATTCCCCCTCCCCCTTTCTCTATATACTTACGGGGTGTTTGGTCTTACGTTCCCCTGTTATAGTATGTTGTTGTTTTTTTACACCACCTATTTCTCTAACGAATTGGGAACAAGTGTTCGATGACCCGTGGGTGGTCAACACGGTCCGGTACGGCTATCGGCTAGATCTCAAAGCGGATCCGCCGCTCACTGTCGCCCCGTTGGAAGGTTTCTATTCGGAAGCCGATCTTCCCATCCTCGCCGATGCCATCGGCAGGTTGGTGGAGAAGAGGGCGGAACGGGAGTTAGCCCTACCAGAAATAACACCGGGGTTTTATTCCAGGATATTTCTTGTTCCTAAGAATGACAGTGCCGAACTCAGAATGATTCACAATCTGAAATTGTTCAACGAGTTTTACCTGCACAACCGCCAGAATGTTGACCTTGGCGGACCGTAAAGCTCTGATCATGCCGGCCGACTGGCTCGCTTCAATCGACCTGAAGGATGCTTATCTGCATGTTCTGATTCACTCGGACCATCACAAGTATCTCAGGTTTGTCTTTCAAGGCAGGCACTACGAGTGGGTTGTACTCCCATACAGTCTTTTGTCCGCTCCCTGGCTGTTCACCCAGTTAACCAACCCCATTGTGGGGTTCCTCCACAGGAGGGGTGTCAGGTACTTCTCGTACCTGGACGACTCGCTAGTGGCCAATCAAATGACGGACACCCTGTCACCCCAACACGATTTCGCACCTCGGCTCTTGGAGCATTTGGGGTGGATTGTCCATCTCACAAAGAGCGAGTTAACCCCCTCACAGAACTTGACGTTCAACGGAGGTCGGTTCAACACGGTGACCCATATCCTCTTTCTCCCCCCAGACCAGTGGCACAAGATTCAGGCGATGATTGCCAAAGTCTTAGCGGTGCAACAGACTGTTCACTTTTGGGAACAGCTGTTAGGGCTACTTGTGTCAGCCCAGGACTGCACTGATTGGGGTCGTCTCCAACTCCGCCCGCTGCAATGGTTTCTAAGCCTGTTGTTAGCACAGGTGGAGAACAGTGCAACCGTCGCCCTCCCGGATCGGCTCCGACCACTTCTGGAGTGGTGGACAGTCCCTTGCAACGTCTTATCAGGAGTCTCTATGCAGCCCTTCCGGGCCACGTTGAACCTGTATACAGACGCCTCTCTAGTGGGCTGGGGCGCCCATCTAGAGGGGGAGGGGAGCCCGGGGCTGTGGTGCGTAGACAAACTCGGTCTTCACATCAATTGCCTCGAGTTCAAGGCAGTGATAAACGCTGTCAATCACTGGAAGCATTGTCTCGTCAATGCCCGGTTCATGCTGGCAACCGACAACACGACAGTAGTGTCCTATGTGAACAAACTGGGGGGAACCTACAGTCACTCGCTACTTGATCTCACATTCAAGTTTTACGCTCTGGTGGACAGTGTCCCGGAACGTACTGGCCGACGCTCTATCGAGGCCTCGGGATCCGAGCCCCACGGACTGGATGCTAAGTTTCAGTGGCTGTGCGAACGTTTGGGTTGTCCGATGGTCGACCTGTTCGCAACCAGGTTCAGCAATCAACTCCCGTTGTTTGTATCACCAGTCCCGGACCCGAGGGCCATCGATCACGATGCTCTCGCGTTAGACTGGATGGGCATGGATGCCAATGCTTACCCGCTGACGACGTGAATACCACTCATTCTAAGCCGGCTCCGAGGAGTTTGCTGTCGAATGTTACTGATCGCGCCCATGTGGCCGAACCGTTCGTGGTACCCCGACTTGCTGGCCCAGGCCACGCAGTCGCCAATTCCTCTGCCTGTGAGACCGGATCTCCTGATCCACCCTCACACCCGTCAGCTTCATCCAAACACAGGGCAGTTCAATCTGCACGCGTGGATGTTGTCACCAAGCGTCTGAGGAGTAATGTTTTTTCTCGTCGGGCGTCTCGGGCATACGTTAGTATGCATCGTGATTCTACCCAGAAGGTGTATAATGCACGTTGGGCTATTTTAACAAAGTGGTGTTGTACACATCACATTCATTCGCCAGATAAGGTATCTGTGCAGGATATTGCTCGTTTCATGTCTCACTTACGAGAGACCCGGAAACTCTCCGGGGGTTCCATTGCCAACGTGGCTATGGGTACCAGTCTCTCAAAAGAGCCGGTGATTCTGGGTATTATCAAGGGTTTCAAGCAGCAAGATCTTAAAAAGGGCCACCTTCAGGCACCGGCCTGGGATCTCTCCTTGGTGTTGAAATCACTTACGGAGGCTCTGTATGAACCCTTGGGTAGTGCTTCGTTCCGGCATGTGACTTTGAAAACAGCATTTCTCCTCTCCTTTGCCACGGCGGCACGAGTGTTGGAAATACACGCACTCGATGTCACCAAAGTACGATTCGATAGGGGCAACGAAGGAGCGGTCCGTCTGGGCCTGCTCATGGGCTTCGTCGCTAAGAATCGGAAATTTGGCCAAACGGAGAGAGAATTCACTGTAAGATCACTCAAAGAAATCTTACATCCTGCTGATACCGAGGACAGATCACTGTGTCCAGTTAGGGCCCTTAAGTATTATCTTGAGGCTCCGAATGAACACAGACAAGGCACAAGCAGTCATCTAAGGGGTGTGCCCAGCGCAATCCCGAACTCATCAGGCTTCAGACCTTGCACGGTGGTCAATCTGGGTCAACCTCTCACAGCCGTGGGTACAGGAGTGGGGGTCCCGCAAGCCAGCGCGCTCATCCACAGGTGAGTGCGGCTTTCTGTGTGTTTCATTATTTGGATTTGACAATTATGTACTTAATTGTCTGTCGTGTATTGCAACCTTGTAATGCATGCTTTCCAATATTGAATTTAGGTCACGCGCCTATTACACACGCTTATGTAGGCTTGTTCTTGGGATATACAGTCCGAATGAAATTAATTTCCCTCTTCTTGACTGTTGAACCTGATCTAAGATTTAGCTCACACGGATACTGTGTTCTCATCCGCTGCGGTGATGAAATACCTTTCCAGTGGGGCCGTTTGGAGTCACCAATCGTCTGGCAATAACGATTGAGCCTTACGGTATGTGCTTGACAGTGCTTTGGTATCCCTATATGGCAACGCCAAGCTGGGAGCATGCGCATCGAGTGCTTCCGCCTTGTTGTATACATCCGCTGGCCGGAAGGAACACGAGCAGTCAGATTTCGGGTTGTAGGTGCTCCCCACCGCCTACTGTGGTAGTCAGCCTTGGTATAACAGTGGTAAGGTATTAGGCAACAATGCAGTTTACCGGGCGCAGCCCGAGCTCTACCATCCGTTCAATTACCGCACTTTAGTGCCACCGCTGTCTCGTTATACCGTTACCGTGTCTCATGCTCTGGTGACTCTCGCTTCACGATCCAACACCTGTTTTCGGTCTTAGGGAAACTTACACATCTTTACAATCAAACACCCGTTCTTAGTCTTAGGGAAACTTACACATCTTTACAATCAAACACCCGTTCTTAGTCTTAGGGAAACTTACACATCTTTACAATCAAACACCCGTTCTTAGTCTTAGGGAAACTTACACATCTTTACAATCAAACACCCGTTCTTAGTCTTAGGGAAACTTACACATCTTTACAATCAAACACCCGTTCTTAGTCTTAGGGAAACTTACACATCTTTACAATCAAACACCCGTTCTTAGTCTTAGGGAAACTTACACATCTTTACAATCAAACACCCGTTCTTAGTCTTAGGGAAACTTACACGTCTTTACGATCCAAAACCCCTTTTCGGTCATTAGTGTTAGCTTGCTTTGGGCAAGGGTTAGCCATAAATTCTTACCTGTTCAAGCGTTCAACCGGTTAATCCCACTGGTCGGTCATGTTGACATAAACAATTGCGGGTGTGGTTTCAAGAAATGATGAATGGGAGAGCGGACCGTGTCGTCAGAGGCATGCGCAATTCATTGTTTACTGAATTATGCATGCATGTCAATGGGGATTCTAATGACCCGTTAAACGAGCACTGATTACATGTGATAACGTCTGTGGTCCAGTGGTAGAGCGTCGGCTAATTAACGCATTAATTAGCAGAGCCGGTGAGCTGGCAAAGCGCGTTCGAGCCCCCACAGCCCTAATTGGATCTGAAAAAGTGTGCCCAGTAAAGTGCACTACTCCCACGTATTACTTGATGTAATTTGTCGAATTTTCCTATTCGGAATATTCTATAAGTAATACGTTACCACTGGGCTGCTGCCTGCCTGTCCGTCCCCTGAGCATTTGCTCTTGCAAGAGACAAGAGTGAGGGGTGTCAGATGGCAGCTAGGTGGCTGCGCATGTGCTGCATGAGGTAATGGACATCTCTGTGGAAGATTTCGTTCTAAGAGCAGTTGTGGGGGACAACAGCCTCGGTATAACAGTGGTAACGTATTACTTATAGAATATTCTGAATAGGAAAATTCTACAATTCAGGCCCCAGCCCTGTGTGTGTACAATGCTGCCTTGTTCACAAGTGATGTACTGAGCTATGTTTCAGGCCCCAGCCCTGTGTGTGTACAATGCTGCCTTGTTCACAAGTGATGTACTGAGCTATGTTTCAGGCCCCAGCCCCGTGTGTGTACAATGCTGCCTGGATCACAAGTGATGTACGGAGCTTTGTTTCAGGCCCCAGCCCTGTGTGTGTACAATGCTGCCTTGTTCACAAATAATGTACTGAGTTATGTTTCAGGCCCCAGCCCTGTGTGTGTACAATGCTGCCTTGTTCACAAATAATGTACTGGGTTATGTTTCAAGCCCCAGCCCTGTGTGTGTACAATGCTGCCTTGTTCTTGAGTATTGTACTGAGCTATGTTTTGAATCCCAGCCCTGTGTGTGTACAATGATGCCTTGTTCACAAATAATGTACTGGGTTATGTTTCAGGCCCCAGCCCTGTGTGTGTACAATGATGCCTTGTTCACAGAGAAGGACTGGCGGGGAATCAAAATGCTACATGACAGCGTCAAAGAGGAGGAACCTCTCAAAGTTGGACGGTTTGGGCTCGGATTTAAATCTGTGTTCCATGTCACTGGTAAGACCTTGGTGATTGTTTTCTTTGATCAGATGTTGGAATGAGAGAGATTACATAAACAGATGTTAGGATTTAGATTTTGGAAGTTTCTTTGCAGGAAATGGATGTCACTTGATAAGTCATTGGCTTCTTGACAAGTAAATTAACATGAACATTGTGTCCTGATTAAACTTGTTCCCTTTCACAAAATTTAATGTTTCCTTTTTAGATTTCAGTTGTCTGTTAGTCGTTCGCGACCTAATTCTTGTCTGTTTATTGAAACATAAACACAAATTTATGGCTTCGTTAGCCAATCAAATGTCACAGAATCACTTGTAATATATTTTTGAAGTTATTACCACAACTGTTGCAATTTACATTTTGGAAGATTCCTTACAGATATTTGAATCTTCAGTTGTTATGTTGTGGAACATTTGACATGCAAGTGATGTCACAAACATTATTTCATCATTAAACTTCTTTCTAAAAACTTTTCAGATTTCCCATGTGTCATAAGCGGGGACACAGTGTTGTTCATCAACCCTCAGGAGAAGAATAGTGACCGAGTCTGCTACATGAAGAAACTGAGAGATCTTTCCAATGAAATCAAGAAGATGATCCTTAATGTCTTCAGTGGCATCTTTGACTTCACATCAGACACGGTACACAAGGGCTATTACAGTGGAACCATCTTCTGGTTCCCCCTCAGAACCAACATCTCAAAGCTGTCAGACAACCTTTACACAGAGGAGAAGGTCATGGATCTTTTCCAAGCGTTTAAGTCTGAGGCGTCCATCACTCTCTTATTTCTGAAGTCAATAGAGAAGATACAATTGTACCAGAGACTGAGAAGAAAGATACAAGTCCAGTTCTCACTGCAGCTGTCTCAAGACTGTCTCCAGGATGTGAGGATGGAGAAGCAAGATTTCATAAGAAAAGTGAAGCAGGCACAAGGAGGAATACCAGCAGCATCTGTAGAGAGTCAGTTGACTTTAACTGTGGAAACAGTGGATGTTGCAGGGCCTAAGGCCTCACAGCAATGGATTGTCATCAACTTCTACAAAGGAGGAACTATGAGTCCAAGGTTCAGAGATCTTTGCAGTGACAAAGCTCTTTCCTACGCCCCCTATGTGGGTTTGGCTGTTCCTCTGGGTCAGCAGTGTAAAGGTCATGTGTTTTGTTTCCTCCCACTCCCCCTGGAGGGTGGCAGTCCCATAGGGCTGCAGGTTCATGTGAATGGTTTCTTTGCTTTGAATCAGAACCGGAGACACGTCAAGTGGCCAACAGCAGATCAGCTTCAAAATCAGGCTCACACCGACAAGGCTATGGAGTGGAACAAGTGTCTTGTGAGTGAAGTTCTGCCTGATGTGTATTATAGCATTGTAAATGCTCTTGTTCAATGCTGCAAGGTGCATACTAATTCAATTATCATCATTCAGCAAATCTACAGAATGATACCAGACATTGATGATGTTGATGTGAATTGGAAGCCGCTTGTTTCAACATTGCTGAAGCAGCTACACAATATACCTTTACTGTTCACACCAAGTGACAAGAGGATGGGGATCAAGATGAAGGATGCCTTTCTTGTGGATGTGGCCAATGACGCTTATTCGTTAATCGTTGAAATATTTACTCTGTACAAGAAATACATCGTCCCAGTACCTTCGAAACTCATGAAGACTTTAGAAAAACATTTCAGCTCCCACATTCACAAAGCGACACCTAAAGATGTCTGTGACACACTGAGATTGAGCAACCATTTTACAAGATTACCAAGACAGAAGAAACTCATGCTGTTGAAATATCTCCTGGAATCTGATCAGTACAAGCACCTGGAGGGTCTGTGTCTTCTTCCAGTGGCTGATGGCAACTTTGTGGCGTTCGGAGCACCTGCTGCTGTGTTCATCTGTGACCAGCCAGAGGATGTCAAACTCTTCCCAGGCCTGGAAAGTCAGTTGGTTTCAGCCGACCTTGCTGAAGATTTACAACAAGCTCTGATGAAACGGGCAGCTGGCGGTAGGTTGCTTTTATCTTGATCTTATCAATCACTGGATTGTCTGCTCCAGACTCGATTATTTACAGACCGCCGTCATATAGCTGGAATATTGCTGAGTGCGGAGTTAAACAACAAACAAACAAACATAATATTTTGGTGCCCATAAGTTATTCTCTCCATACGCATTCTGTTTGCTGTAGAGACACAAGTCCAAGGCTAGTACTGATTGTTCATTAGTTCATATTTTGAATTGGTGTGATCTTCCACATATTCCAGAAGAAATCAGTGAAACTACACTCAGCTTTGAGGCTTTTTGTGTGATGACACTGATCTGATTTGACTGATTTTTAATGCTTTCCTTTTAGGATGGAAAGGCCTTTCCGTGATGTCATCTGCTGCCTTCCCTGGCCTGCTCCAGAAATGTCTGTTGAGGCATTTCCCAGAAGGCAATGCTAAACTCCCTTCCCCATCCTTGGATGTCAGCTGGCTCAGGCAAGTGTGGACCTATATTACAGCCCATGGATTTGATGTTGAATCTGTGTTCAGTGGTCTTCTCATTGTGCCGGATATTGATGCTTCAGACAGAGGAAGACTCCACAGCATCGATGATGTCTTCATTGCTCAGTCAGTGAGGCACTCTGAATCTTTACCTCCAAATGTAGGTGCAGCGCTGCAGAAACTAGGCATTGTCCATTTAATGTATGTTCCTGACTTTGTGCTGAAAAATTCATATGTTCTTGGGACAATCATTCAGTACTCAAATCCAGTTGGTGTTGTAAGAGCATTAGAGAAAGTATACAGGAGGAAACTTATCACAGCTGTACAACTGTTCAACTCCGAATCCTCCAAACAGGAAAGGTCTGCTTTGGTTGCCTACATGAGCACCTGCCAGTTGTCCGAGGGAAGTAAAGCAGTGTTAAGGAAGTTACAGCTATTTACTGCGACAGACAACAGTGATTGTTCAGTGGAAACCTTATGTACTCTGGCTCCTGATGAACAAATACCTGTACCCTACCCAGAGAGGTACATCCAGTGTTCATCTGCTGCAGTGAGACACCTGGCACTGACACTTGGTGCAACAGAAAGGCCATTTCTTGATGTCAGTCGACGAATCCTTCAAATGATGCTGCACAACAAAAGAAAATATACAGAAAGTCATATGGTAGATTTTATGGAGTTTCTCATGGAGAATCACCTTCATATTGTGAATGAGACCAGGCAAATTGCTTCAGAGGTACGGTTCCTTTCATCCAGTGGAGGGTCATCTGGACTGAGAGCTTGTGATCTGTTTAGCCAAGATGACCCATTCGTGAAAGACTTATTCCTGGGAGAAGACAAATTCCCAGCAGATAGGCACACACGAAGAGACAGACTGAGAAGAGGATTAGAAGCAATAGGTCTTAAAACAGAGAAAGAAGTTTCAGAAAGTGATGTTAGAACATCAGCAAAGACAATTGAGGAGCTTGTAATCAGGGGAATGGAATCTGAAGCAGGCCGTAAAGTAACAGCATTCATCACTTTCCTGGAAAGGAGCACATACAGAATGGATGTATTCAAACTATCTGACCTTCAGCATTTGCAATGCATCCCATGCATGCAGAAAAGAATATCCAGATATCCCAAGTCTCTGTCATGGAAAGGAGAATCAGGACCCAAAATCTTATCATCAGGAAAGGTTTTCAGTTCAAGATACTCATCTATCATTGGGTCTGTTAGTCCAGTTGCAAAAAAAACAACAGCTGCTGTTGAAGCAATTTTAGGACTTGATAGAGTTCCTCCAGTGTGTTCAGTAATGGAACATCTTCATAATCTTGGGACATCTTATGACAGTAGAGAATGTAATCCTTGTATGGACTTACTTAAGGACATTTACAGCTTCCTGAGTTCTCAAGATGTATCAAGTACAGAGAAGAACATGATGGAGTCATCACAATCTGTGTGGGTGGGAATAGAAGAAGGTTTCCACTCTCCCCGGTCAGTGTATTGTGAAAGATCTGATGCCGACCTGGACCTGAAGCCTTACAGATACCAGCTGCCATCTCTGTTGCATGGCTGGGGTTCATTACTGTGTAGCTATGGCTGCCACCAGAGACAAACACCTGACATGTTGGCCACTGTCCTGGAAGAAATAAAAGAAAAGCATGATGAATTCAAAACTGCCAACTTAAAGAAACCAACAGTTGTGCGACAAGATCTGAAGCTTGTTCTTCAAATACTGAATGAACTACAAGAACACCCTCAGAGACCTGACCATGTGTTGGTGCCAGTGCACCAGGCATCTGATGATTTCCTTCTCTTGTTGCCAGCAGAATCCTGCACCTACTGCAATGCAGACTGGCTGCAGGATCAGACATCTGATGATTCAGATGACGATGATGAGGAAATATTCTTTGTTCATGCCAGTGTATCAGAGCTCACTGCAAAACTGCTAAATGTTAGCTCCCTGACTGACCGTGTAATGGGTGACACTGAAGACTTTGATATGAACTATCAGCAGACTGAACCATTAACGCGAAGATTGAAAAACTTGCTCCATGAATACACAGACGGTTTTTCTGCCCCGAAGGAGCTGATTCAAAATGCAGATGATGCTGCAGCTACAGAAGTTTGTTTTATGTATGATGAGAGACAGAATCTGAATGCTAGAACCTCTCTCATGAATGAGAATATGGCTGCTCTGCAGGGCCCTGCTTTCTGGGCTTACAACGATGCAACATTTCAAGAGTGCGATTTTGATCACATAAAGAAGCTTAGTGGAGCAACAAAAGAAGAAGACACAACTAAAGTTGGCAAGTTTGGTTTAGGATTCAATTCTGTCTACAATTTAACTGATGTTCCAAGCTTTATTAGTGAAAACAATGTGGTGATATTTGATCCTCATAAATTATACCTAGGGAGACCTGGATTAAGAGCAAACCTCAAAAGTGTGAAAAATGGGAAGATGTTGAGAAAAATGAGTGGACAGTTTAAACCATTTGAGGGAATATTTGGTTGCAATTTTAGTGGGAATGCTGACAAAATATGTCCTGGAACACTTTTCAGGTTCCCTTTAAGGACGCAAGAGCAAGCTGATGCAAGTGAAATAAAAGACTTAGTTTACTCAAGGCATGAGATGGAGAACTTTTTCCGAAAATTTGTTGAAGGATGTGGAAATCTTCTCCTTTTCACACAGAATGTGCAGTCAGTGAAGTTCTTCCATATTCCACCCAGAGGAGAACCCAGCCAGCCAGAACTGCTTGTTCATGTCCGAAAGACTATCCAAGATCGAAAAGTTCTCTCACCTTCAAATTCCTTTCTTAATGGACCTAACGTGCTGTCATATGCAGCTGAAGAATGGAAAAAGCAATCAGGGCTGTCCCTGAAAATAAGTGAAAAAAGTGATGTCCAGCTTGAAATATGTGACACAGACATGACGAGAATGCAAAAGCTAAAGGCTGGTGTGACCATTGTGTCATGGCTCATAACATGGGTAACTGGTCAGGGAGAATCTGAGCAGTTTGCTCGGTCTGGAAAGCTTAAAGGACTGCTTCCATTAGCAGCTGTTGCAATTCCACTGACTTTGGAAGATGGAAGACAATGTATATATAATATGGACAAATGTCCTGAAGGGTTCTATAGAGAAGGACATTTCTTTTGCTTTTTGCCTTTACCAGTGCACATTCCTTTTCCAGTACATATCAATGCACCATTTGCCTTGACATCAGACAGAAGACAACTGTGTACACAAACAGAAGATGACAAGACAAACTCTGAAGCTGAGTGGAACACTGCTTTGTTTAAAGATGCTACTTGTAGAGCATATGTAGCTGCTCTGGAACAATTAGAGATCACTGACCCTTCCACTGTTGGTCAATATTATGACTTGTGGCCTACCATGCAAAGGGGGCAGGACTGTATGGTACGAAGTTTCTATGAGTTTATAACACATGAGGCCCATGATGTATTTCTGCATGATGACAATGGTAATCTGGAATGGTTGTCATTTCAAAGAATATATATTCTTGAGCCAACTATTTGTGGCAAAAATCGAAAATTGGCTTACAAGGCAGCAGCCAAATTTTGGAATAGAACTAATGAGAAAATTATTGATCTTCCACAAAACCTTCTTGAGCAGTTTTATTTGTCTGGGCTAGAATCAAAGGTTAGTTCCAGACTTATCAGAGAATCAGAGTTTTTTAAGACAATCTTCTTCCGAAACATACATGACAGTTACTGGTCCAACAGTCAAACAGAGAGAGATAGCTTGGTATTATTTGCTCTCAAATGTCAGGATGAAAGTGTTCAAGACCTGATCAAAGGTACAAGATGTATTCCAACAGAACCATCAGGCACTCTGAAACTGCCAGGTGAAGTAATTCGCCCAAACAGTCCATGTGCAGATTTGTTTTCAGAAGAAGATGAATGCTTCCCAAGAGGATATAAGTTTGGGGAAACTCAATTCTGTGATTTGAATGTGATAAAGATTCTCTGTAAGCTTGGAATGATCCAAGACAAACTCCCATGGGAAATTCTTGTTGAACGAGCAAGATCAGTGGAAAAACTAGCTGCACAAGATGCCAAGAGAGCCCGTGAGAGAAGTGGTCGGATTCTAAGGTATCTTGTCATCAGGGACAAGCATGGAAAGAAACTTTTTGATGATTTGAATGAGGATATAAAATCTACATTACAGGGTATTCCCTTTTTGCCTATTCTGAAACATCCTACATCTTGGCATTTACATTGGAAAGCAGATGATATTCCAGAAACATTGTTTGCATGTCCAAATGAACTGCATGATAAGAAATTGTCAAGTCTGGTAGCTTGTTCCCAGTTAATGCTTGATGACTCATTTGACTGTAACATGCATGTTGACGTGGAAGTTCTGTCCTGGCTTGAAGTTAAAGGAAAAGAAGATGTTGTTCTTGAAGACGTAGCCAACCAATTACTGTCTGTTTCTGAGACCATTAATTCAGGGACTACATTATTCAATGAACTGGAGAAAATGTGCAAAGATCTGTATGCATGTTTGAATGAGCAGTATCATAAAAGTAAGTTCAGTATCATACGTGATATTTTGAAAAATAAGGACATTGTAGTAGCTGAAAAAAGATTGCTTAAACCACAGCAAGTTGCTTTTTCTCTTCCGTGTGACTTATCACCAGATTTGTATCAAGTTGACAAAGCATTTGATATCTATAAACCATTTTTGCAGAGCATAGGAGTAAGAGAGAGATTTGGACTGAATGACATACTTGCTGTTATAGGCAACATCACAAAGGAAGCAGGTACAAAACCCCTTTCTCAAAGCAGATTGAAATGGTTTGGGTTAGCTGCACAATACATTCAACTTCTTGATATATCTGATTTTAGACCAGAAGGCTTTGATATTTCACTTCCAAATTCAAAAGGGATAATGTCTAAGGCAGTATCACTTTGCATTGATGATTGTGAATATGTTGTTCATGATGAATCAATGACGTTTGTTCACAAAAATATTCATCAAAATGTAGCCAAATTGTTTGGTGTCAAAGGAAAACGAGAAGTTGATTTAAAAAATCACATTTGTTCATCCTTCTCTGAATTTGGACAGTGTGAAAAATTGACAACCAGACTGAAAGGACTTCTGAGTGGATACCCATGTGATTCTTCACTGATGAAAGAACTGCTGCAGAATGCAGATGATGCTGGAGCTACTGAACTAATGTTCATAAAGGATTTCAGACATCTGCCAATAGAAAAATTGTTCTGTGATGAATGGGCTTCCCTGCAAGGTCCAGCACTGTGTGTCTTCAATGACAGTTTCTTCACAGAAGGTGACATTGAAGGTATTCAGAACTTAGGTGTAGGAAGTAAGAGTGACGATCCTGTAAAGACTGGGCAGTACGGTGTTGGGTTTAATGCTGTTTATCATCTCACTGATGTGCCCTCCTTCATCACTGTTGGCCCTGGAATGGAAAAATCTATATGTGCCCTTGACCCTCATATGCAATATGTACCAGGGTGCAAATCTGGAAAACCTGGAGTGAGAATATCACAGCTTGACAGGATAAGAGACACTTATGCAGATAGCTTCTCTGGCTATCTGGAAGATATAGTCAGAACTGACACAAAAGGAACACTGTTCAGATTTCCCTTGAGGACGCAGGAAATGGCAACCAAGTCAAAGATCAAAGACAAAAAAGTTGACCCAGACGATGTCAACAAGCTGTTAGAGGAATTCAAGAATGATATGTTTGACTCTCTCCTATTCCTCCACAATGTTAAGAAGATATCTATTGCCAGAGTCAGCCGAAATGGTATATTCAAAGAATACTGTGTTGAAGCAAGTATGAGTGAAGCAGATATGTCTAAACATAAACAGTTTCTCTCTCACTTGAGGAATCAGACAAAAATGATTCAAGATTGTTCATCTCAAACAGGCCTCAATGCTGTTTCTCCATTAAAAGTTCAGTTATCTCTCAGAGTCAAGGATTCTCAAGGTAAACAACAAGATTGGATAGTGAGTCACCAATCTGGTTTTGTAAAGGAAAAATCTATTCCCGATGTTATTACAACAACTTGGAAGAATGGAGACATTCGACTTTTACCAAGAGGTGGTGTTGCAATGCCTCTTGCTGATGCAGAGAAAAACTTCGAGGGTAAAGCATTTTGTACCTTACCTTTGCCAATCAGCACTGGACTACCAGTTCATGTCAATGGCCACTTTGCCCTTGATCATGAAGCAAGAAGAAACCTTTGGTATGGCAGTGATGACTACAGGTCAGCCTGGAATCGCCATGTTGTTGATGCAGTCATAGTTCCAGCCTATATTTCAGCTGTGAAATTAATAAAGAAGAGTACAGAAATAAACCATAAAACAGCTTTCAAATGTCTTTATGACAAAATATATCACTCCTATTATACATTCTTTCCTGATAGAAGCTGCACAAAAAGTGAAGTTTGGGGGGACCTTGTGGTTTCATTTTACACAGATGTTGTGTTGAAAAAAAGAGAGATTTTCAGTGTTATTAAGCCAGCAGAAGGATTGTTTGCTGAAAGAACAAAAAGGACAAAGGAGAATATGATGTGTAAAGTCGAATGGGTTCCAGCTGCATGTTCGAAAGGATTCCCTGGCTATTTCAATAACCTGGAAAAGGAAACAACAGATGATGTTCCCCCAGGATCATCGCAGTGCTGGAAACAGGAAAATGAGAATGCAGTTCGGTTAAAAGAGATCCTTAAGGACTTGAACATGAAGGTTATAGATTCTCCATCAAGAATTTATAAAGACATTTTTGCAACATGCAAAGAACCAGTAAGTGAGGTAACACCAACAAATGTTATGCATTTTCTGAAAACACATTTCTTGAAAGTTAAAGATGGATGTAGTCTTAGATTACCAATGGAGTTGGCACGTACATCATTAAGGAATGTCGAATTACTTCAACGGCTGACACAATTCTGCAAAAAGCAGCAGAAATTCTGTTCCGAATTGCATTCTCTGCCACTTGCGCTGACTGCATCCATGAATCTGTACAAATTTGATCCTTCTAAGCCTTTCTTTGTCACAAAGTTCACAGAGCTCCTCGCTGGGACTCCGGATCAGGTACTGCACAAGGATATTGTTGATTTGTATGGATGTTATGAATCACCTTGTTTGAAAGAGCTTGACATTTGTTCACTTGCAGCTTTACTTGGACAGACACTTTCTGCTGATGTTTTACAGACAGGCAAACCTGTATATTGGAAAGACAACACATTTCCTTCAAAGCAGTGGATTTTTCGCTTTTGGGACTATTTAGCTACACAAATTTATGGTAGTAAATCAAATCAGACTTTAGTGACAAAAGCAACTTTGACTAAAGTAGAAGACTGGTCCCTGTTACCTGCCACAAAGCATGGGGATGGCAGTCTCATGCTCTACCCAATAAAGGAGAGTTGGTGTGTCATTGATATGAACTCTGTTAATGAGAAAGCACATCAAACAGCTTTACATCACATGAACGTTCCACAACTTGAGAGAAATGTTCTTAAACATACAAGTAGTTTGCCATTTGACAATCGTGCATGTGCAGTTGCTTCATCCAGTCTAGCCAGTTGGGAGAATCCTGGCACAGTTTTAAAGTTAATATCCAATTTGGATTTTAGTTCATGGAATAATGTAAGTCCACAAGACTGTCAAGCAATTTTGGAGTTCTTTAGTAGAAATGTGGACAAACTGAATGACCCACAGGCAGCAAAACAGTTAAAAAAAATTCCGCTTTATGAGTCATTGGGTGGATCACTGGTTGATTTACAAAATCATACCACTATATTTTCAGTAGAAATTCTCATGACTATGCCTAGTGAAGGTTTCGATGATTGGACCTCTGCTTCTAAAATTTTACTTTTAAAATTCTCTGCTTCATGCCGGAAGCTTTATCACTTCTTGGGTGTACAAGAACGTACAGATGAGAAATTGTATGTACAATACATTCTTCCAAATTTTAACTTTTTGCCAGACTCAACCAAACCGAAACATCTGAAATACATCCGTGATCAGCTGTTGAAAAAAGCTACAAAGTTTAGCCCAGAACAATGCGAACTGATAAAGCAGTTAAAAGATCTAAAATTCATTGAAGCAGGAGATGGAATGCTTCATTGTGCTGGGAACTTTTATAGTTCTGATGTTGAAGTTTTCAGAGAGATGTGTCAGCCAAATGAGTTACTACCACCACCATATGCTGCAAGAGAGTGGCAACACTTTGTGGAACTTGCTGGCTTGAAAACAAAAGTTACTGAGGAGCTTTATTTGTTATTTGCAAGGAAAGTTGAACGTTCGGGTCAACAAGGGATCACTGAAAATATTGAGAGGAAGTCTAAAGCTTTGATATCGTACCTAACAAGGCATTATAAACATTTCAGAAATTTAACAGAAATTGGGAAGATCAAATTTGTGTTGCCGTACTCTGTCAATGAAGAGTTAACAAGTATATTCCCACAACATAATGAAGGAAAATATCTTGTGTCCTACTCAGAATCACTGTCCCCTTGTCACTGCCACTATGTTTGGACAAGCTGTTCTATCTTCAACCAAGATGCAGATCCACGTTCATGGCTCAGTGCAGACAGGATCCAACACTTTAACTCTCTGCTTGGTATTCAAACAGTCCCTACCTCAGAAAGAGTTACAAGGCATTTACAAAATATTTGCACATCTCTCATTAATATTCAAGACCAAAATGATGGAGATAAATTATCTAAGCTAGATCACTTCATACAAGAGGTCATGAAAGCAAATTACAAGCATTTACTTGATACTTGTGTCACTGATGAAATGAAGATTCATCTTCAAGACTTTTCCATCATTTATGTGCCAGCTGACAAGTGTATGGTTTCAGCTGACAGAGTTGTTAAAAATATTCGTTCTGATGACATTATGAAAGGATATCTTTATGCAATTCCAGATGAATTTTTTGAATTTCATCAAATCTTTATTGATCTTGGAGCCTCAAAGGATGTGAATGCAAACCTGTATGTGCGTGTGTTGGAGAAACTGTACAAAGAGACTAATGGCAAAAGTCTTCATCTTAATGAACTATCCGTGGCAAAGAAGGCTATTGACCGTATGGTTTTTTTTATGCAAAGGGAAAGCATGCCAGACACGCGCTTAAAGGAACAACCCTCATTGTACCTACCTGACAATAGCTTGGTGCTCACTGACTCTCGGAATTTGGTATATAACAATGACAAGCGTCTGTCTGAAAGAGTTGAGTTCCTTGAATTACCATATTTCCTTGGATTTCAGAAGTTGGAACTGAATATGGATGAAAATGCTCTCCTTTCAATGCTGCCAGAATGTTATAGGTTGAAGTTGCTGACTTCTTTTGTAAAAGAGCATGTTACTGAAGAGAGCAAACAGAGAGCATACACTGGTGATTTAGCTCAAAAATACAAAAATATTGTACAGGGATCAGAATTTGTTAGTGCAGTTGTTAGACTTGTCAATCATGAAAGTATTTTACTTCGTACTCAAGGTTTGGATATTTCAGAAGCAAAGGACATTGAACAACGTCTAGCACTTCTAGAAATTCAACAAGTGAACAATTTGAAAACAGAGCTATGGGAGAATGGAAATGTTGTTCCTGGGAGCCAATGCAAAAGGGCATTTTTACGGGAAAGAAACAAAAGAAGCAAGAATGTCTGTCTATTCATTGATAGCAAAATTAAGTCAATCACTTTATTAAGTGCATTAGCAGTAACAGTGGATAATCTGACATCAAGAAAATTGGGCAGTTGCAGTGCTTATCTGCATCATTTGCTTGGTTCTAAACCAGAAATATTTAATGGTTATTTGGATGAATTTAAAATAAAACCTTATGGTCATGTTGGCCAACAGAGAGAACAGACAGCATTTCCTCCTCCTGGGACGTTGATCCCAGAAGATATGCACTGGCTCTTGGACAACAGTTTCCATGTCTTTGATGAAGGGGAGTATGTTGGCCTGGAGGTGTATGATCCACTCGTTGACACAGACTCTCAGGATGAGGAGGATGCAAATGCAAACCCAGTTTACATTTATGCCATTGTGAAAAAAGTTGTTTGTAAGGAAGATATGTTATTCAGACAAAAGTATGTGGTTAATGTTGGAGATGACCGAGAAGAAGAAATACTGGGATTAAAGCTGTACAAATTTTGGAGAGAGAAGACAAATAAGTGTAGAAGTCTTGTAACCACTGAGACATCAACATCCCAGGATGAACTGCAGAATACTGAACAAAGTGATCTTGAGTCAGTTCTGAAAGAAATTAGACAGATTCTTACGGACACTTGGAGGAACTGTTCAGATCAGGAGAGGAACAGAGTGAAAAAAAGATTATACTTAAAATGGCACCCAGACAAGAATCCTGGCAGGGAAGATTTCTGTACAAAAGTATGTCAGAATATCCAGAAATATGTGATGAGACTTGAAAATGGACAGAGTATTGAGGATGTTGATGATGAAGACATAGGGACACAAAGAACCTCCTATGGTGCCAGTCGAACAAATTCATCCTTCTTTGAACACATGAACAGAAGAAGTTCAAATCAAAGGAATCATTATGAAAGGCACAAGCGCACAGCTTCATCAAGTGAAAACTATAGAAGTGAAACATTTTACAAATGGCATCATTCTGCAAGAGATGATGCTCATCCTCAACCTCAAGAAGCCAAGCGTTGGCTGAGGCAGGCCACATTTGACCTACAAGCAGCATGGCAAAGCTCTCGGCAGTATAATACATGTAGTAATAACTGGGTTCTCTTCAAAGCTCAACAGGTAAATATACATAAAGAGGTCATACATCAGCAGTTAATGTTTTTGTTTGTATCAGCTTAGAAACTTAAAACTCTTTGCAAGACTGTGTTATCTATATACACAATACATATAGAGGATGCTTAAATATTGATTAAGCATTTTTGGACACAAGATGAAAAGGTGATGTGATAAAGAAAGCCAAATATTCTATTCATTATGTATTTTAACAATATAATTATAAAGAGAATGAAAAATATACCATTTTATTAGATTTCATCTCTCATCTCATGAAATGGCTGATCTTGAATAATATCAATTTCATGTCAGGAATTGTGTTATTTCTCTATTACATTTAGAAATATACTAAACATGTGTATGTTAAATGTATTAAACTTCCAACAACATAATATGATTTGTCTTATGGCTTATGGCCATAAAAAGCAAGTTCTCACAATGTTAGTTTCTACTATAACATGAAAGATCACATGCAAAATTGCTGTAATTATTTATTTTATGATGGCATGATCTATCGAGCTGATAATTCTTTAGCCAATGACTGGGACCTGGTTACATTGATATAAATGATGGATTAATGTGTTTTTTAGCCTCCATAAACAAATGGGTCTAGTTTGTAGGAACCAAAGTGTTTTACACACCATCCTGACATCAGGTAAATCAGCATTGTTTGATAGGCATTACCTAGAAGTTGACGGATGACAAGGTTGACACAATTTTATGGATAACAACTTCTTTAATACTGTAAAAAGCGACGTTTCGGTATAGATCCTTATACTGTTATCAAGCAAGACTGAATGAGGGACATTGTACAGAATATATATAGTGGATGGAGGATTAACAGTAACAACAATCACATACCTGAGTGGGTACCATGCAGGTGTAATTAAACCAAGTATACCAGACAATATGCACTGAAATTGGTAATTGTTCAAATGGAGAGGTCGGACTGAAAACTGTTTTCAATAGATGTTACCTTACTGGCATAAAAGATGAGTGAGTTTCTTAAACCAGTTTTTGCATTAGTCCACCATATAACAGATGGCGCACCAAGTATTCATTCACTGTACCTATGTTGGATGGGGCACCAAGTATTCATTCACTGTACCTATGTTGGATGGGGCACCAAGTATTCATTCACTGTACCTATGTTGGATGGGGCACCAAGTATTCATTCACTGTACCTATGTTGGATGGGGCACCAAGTATTCATTCACTGTACCTATGTTGGATGGGGCACCAAGTATTCATTCACTGTACCTATGTTGGATGGGGCACCAAGTATTCATTCACTGTACCTATGTTGGATTGGGCACCAAGTATTCATTCACTGTACCTATGTTGGATGGGGCACCAAGTATTCATTCACTGTACCTATGTTGGATGGGGCACCAAGTATTCATTCACTGTACCTATGTTGGATGGGGCACCAAGTATTCATTCACTGTACCTATGTTGGATTGGGCACCAAGTATTCATTCACTGTACCTATGTTGGATGGCGCACCAAGTATTCATTCACTGTACCTATGTTGGATGGGGCACCAAGTATTCATTCACTGTACCTATGTTGAATGGGGCACCAAGTATTCATTCACTGTACCTATGTTGGAATTGAACCTGGGCCTTTGGTATGTCAAGCCATTGCTGTAACCACAGGGTTCCTCATCGTCTCCATCACAAAATGCATGTCGGATGTGTAGTGTAGTGTAGTTAAGAGAAGGGCTAATTTCACTGCTATTATTTGGTTTTCACTGATAAGGGAAGAATAGATGTCAGAGTATCTGCAGACAATCATGCCATGCTTTTTACAAAAGGCAAAGGCAGTTAATGTTATGTCAGGTCTTCAATGGTAGTGATTTCATATATGTGGCGGACAGGTACCTTATTTTTGTGAATGTTAAAACATCATGTTCAGATGTTTCATTTAATAAATTATTGATGTACAATATACAATGTAAATATTTAAAATCTCAACGGCAAACAATAACCAGTCTCGATTGTCTGCCAGAACAGATTCCATTGCAAGTAAAATGCTGAATAGCGGGGAAAATTATATATATATGTATCACTGAAAATCAGTGATGACAACTGGTGTTTGAGGAAGGAATAAAAAATTGTCTGAAATCCCCCAAACAAATAAAAAAAACAAGAAATAAATAACATAAAATATGACTGATCACAGATACATTAAAGTTATTGATCTTGAAAAGTTGCAATATTTCATTTTGATGAAAATGTGTCAATTTCATTTTTATCAAAAAAAATCCAACTATTTGGTATTGTTTGAATTAGACATAAAGTATTTAGTTCAAACGTAAGACTTCCGGTGTGAATTCAGTGATAACCATATCAGGGTAATTCTATAAATTGCTAATAATGCATATAAGTGTATATTTTCATTGTGCATAAACATGATGACACAGGCTAGGGTGTAAGGTCAGTTTATTAGTTTACTGGGATGTATATGGGTGATTACAATGACTGAATCCCTGAAATAACCTTTGATTTATGTCTCTTTCTCTGTCCAGTGCAGAGTGAAGTGGAAGTGAAAAGTGCAGGGGTGAAAACAAAGGGTTTTAAGTGTAGGACACTGAGATTTAAAACTAGCCAATAAAGAAAACACCTGATTGACCACCAAAAACTACTTGTCTGCCCCATAATGCAGATGACAGACCCAATAATTAAAACCAAACAAAAGAGTAGAGCTTTAATGATGATGCTTAACTTACAACGACTTAAATATCTTATGCAGCCTAAAATGAGAAATACAATTGTTGTAGATACATCAATTAAGGTAATTGCGTTATGCATCTGAAATAAATTCAAATAATTATTGTTAGTTACTGCAGTATCTGAAATATACAAAATAACATTATTGACAACATAGTAAGAAAAACAGCTAATTAATAAAACATGATCAATATATAACTACTCTCTACCTCTCTAGCATGCTGGTCTCATGACATCAATGTCTGATGGTATATTACTTTCAATCTTTATTTGTTGACATAATCAACAGTAGACACTTCTTTAAATAACATCACCATAGACTTACATGTCTGCTTAATAGTTTTCAAAATACTCATATAAATGCTCGTCACGATATGGCTGAAATATTGCCCATGTGACGTAAAGCATTAACTCACTCACTCACTCATATAAATGGACCAAGTTCTAAAACTACATGCTGCACTGCTGTTCTTTCTGTTTGTCAGATTATCTCCCTTATTTTATTTATTTTTAAACTTATCCTATCTCACACTATGCATTTTACCCTTCTTCTTCGATCCTGGTGTGGAAGCACTCTTAAAACAAGTTTCCAGCTTCCCACTCGTCCCTACACATCCCAGTCGTCACCATGGTCACCACCATAAACATTTGGTTGACGAACACTGCCTGAATCCCATGCAACCTGATCACATGACGTACCCACACTCACTCTCTTTCTAATTGCCTTGTTGTGTGGACATGTTTTAATTCTAGAGAATTATAGATCTTTTTTATACCCCCGACAAAATGTCCGTCCGAAAATTGTGTCCGCACGATTTCTCTTCAACTATTCAGTGGATTCATCTCAAACTTAGTACATATAATCTGTGTCATATGGAGGGGTGCAGTCAAAAGAAAAAAAATTGTTTTTATTAATTTTCCAATTTTTTTATGGATTTTTCAAACCCTAATGTCCGTCTGAAGACTTTGTCCGCACGATTTCTCTTAAACTATTCAGTGGATTCATCTCAAACTTAGTACATATAATCTGTGTCATATGGAGGGGTGCAGTCAAAAGAATTATTATTATTTTTTTAATTTTCCATTTTTTTATGAATTTTTCAAACCCTAACGTCCGTTCGAAAATTTTGTCCACGCAATTTCTCTTAAACTACTCAGTGGATTCATCTCACTTAGTACATATAATCTGTGTCATATGGAGAGGTGCAGTCAAAAGAAAAAAATTGCTTTTATTAATTTTCCATTTTTTTATGAATTTTTCAAACCCTAAGTTGAGGCTAACCCTTTCCTAGCTATTTAATTTGTAACTACTGACACACTAGGTGGGTCGGGGGTATTAGTGAGCCACGCTCACTTTTGCACTTGTTTTATTCTTTTAGTCTGTCTCAATAAACACAACTACAGAGGTTATGAATAAGTGACTTGTGAGAATTCTAAACACACTTTTTTGGCGTTGGAGGCTCACTCGCTGTGTTGTGATTGTTGTGACCAATGCACTAATAAGAGTGTTACAAACAGTGTCTACTTCTCGTTTGCGGACTTCAGAATTTCCACTGGTACATATCAATAATAAACTAACGATCTCTGTTATATTTCTATGTTTTAAAGATATGGAACATGGCCTTTCATCAGCTCAGAAATCTAATGGACAACGTTATCGGCAATTAGGCCTCCTGTTTCATTGTCTCAGGCTTCCCACCCGTCTGCCACAGGATCAAGATCAGGATTGGCTTTCCCCATTACGGGATCGTTATGACAGGCGTGCTCTAAGTCAGGCGACAATACAGCAGTCAGGATTGGGATCGTCATCATTCATCACCCTCATTCATTAATGGGTTTGGAGACATATTGACAGTCAAGATCGCATCGGACTCTATGGTTGGTGTTCTCTCAGTCTGATATTCAAGCTTTGGTACAGATTATGTCTACCACTCTTAGTGAACATGACTTACATTTGGTGACGATGATTTATGAATGGAGTTGTCGCCCGTGTCGATACCCTTGTCTACAGAAGGTAGATGGTCACAACATAGCACCACTCAATCATGAGAGGGTCGACAGGGTTGTCATGTGCTACCACTGTCCTGGGATTTTCGTTTACAACCATTATTTTCACAAACAGATCCAAACCCTGGGTAATGTTATAACTGCACCAGTTATAGAGTTTCTCTGATTTTCAACATTTTCAAGACTTATTTAAACGCATCAAATTTCACGACGATCACCTTTCTAATGCACCGGTCTGATCCCTCATCCTACAGGGACCTGGTTGCCTGTACACTGCCTTTACACCATTATTCTTTGGAACCCAGGACACCTCTTTTGTCTGTCTGACATACAGTTCGCACTGGACTGTCACGTTATGGGTTTTTGTGTATGGAGCTTTGACCATGTTTTGAGCAAGAATGCATTTTTCCATGTTCCTGTACAAGGGTGATTTACATATCAGATGTTAAGACTTTTCTGATTTGTAAAGAAACCCGATTATTCTGGAATAAGAACAGACTGACCTAATGTGAGCCGTTTGGTGCTCTTTACAGGTTGGTTTGCATGATAAATTATACATACTGCTGTAGCCGCCACAGGCACCTGACGATATCGAGTAGTACATCTAATGATGGTGAGTTGGTGGATCTGAACACATTAATTTGTCGTTCGCCCTCAATAATCTCCACGTTCCTTCAATGTACAGTAGGGCGGAGGGGGTAACCTAGTGGTTAAAGTTTTCGCTCCGCACATGGGTACAATGTGTGAAGACGATTTAGGGTGTCCACCGATGTGATTTCGCTGAAATATTGCTGAAAGCGGTGTAAAAACATACTCACTTAATTTACAGGTTCTTGAAACACAGACGCACTTCCGCATGGTCTCAATCACCCTGGTACGTATAGTCCTTCGGCCAGGGGATTATATGATTAACCCAACCAATGCATCGCCTGTTCGTCAGTGACTCTCCTATTGGTTAGAGAGTGCACTTATTTGATCTACATGTGGCAGGATGTTGCTCGCAGACAACAGAATCTCAAACTTGGAGGTCAAGTCCTCCTACGAGCATCCTGACTGATGGTTCATTTAAAACAGCAGATCAGTTGTGAGTATGGAACATATACATCAACAAGATGGGATTGACAAAACTTCCATCACTAATATGAATGCTGAACTCGCTTCATGTTCATGTTCAACCAGGCACATCCAGGCTTCAAACTGGGACCCAATATCACAACCAGATCAACTTTCACCGAATGAAAGCCTGCTTATTCCAGAGGTATTTCAGTGGTTCTGCCAGCTCTACCGGAAGCCAGAAGTAAGACTGTTTTGCAACCAGATACAAACTACTGAGGTTCACCTCCAACATCCCATACCCATGGGCATGGGTGTAAGATCTGCTAGCTATCTCTTGGGAATTAATGGCTGGATGCTTATTTGTGTTTGTTTTATTTGTTGTTTACTGCCGCACTTAGCAATAATTAGACTGTGAAGGGGGTCTGTAAATAATTGAGTCTAGACCAGATCCAGAGATTGATATCATGAGCATCAATCAACGCAATTCGGATACGATGATATTCGTCAACCAAAACAGCTAGTCTGACCAGCAGATCCTGTTGGTTGCCTGTTAAGACTAGCGTAGTCACTTCTTACAACAAGCATGGGTTGCTCAGGAGACCTATTCTATTCTGGATCTTCGTGGTTTTCTGACAACAAACAACTTTTTTGGGGAAGCAAAAGGTTGGTTCACCATACTCATAAACATGGCAGAGCGATGACTTCATTGTCAGACTTACTTCTTCAGCCACACTCAAGCTAGCTATAGCCATCACCAGAAGTGGCAGACATTCAATGGTTGTTACAAGTCATGAGACATTCAATCGTCAACCACAGCATCTGAATAGCTGTATACCTTCAGCACTTGCCTACCTCAAGGAAGCTGAAGGGATTTACACTTGCTATTTATTTACTCGCAGATATCCATGGTAACAGAGGTTCAAGCCTGATTCAATCTTATAAATTAGCCGACAATTTACTCGATTCCGACCACCAGCTTGGGACCTGAACATCACATTACATCATACCGGTATATCATCTGAAGCTTAGAAACCCCTGGCTGGTAAACACTTTGAGCATATCCATATCAAGACAGTCTTCCTGTAGGCCCTAACTACAGCAGCACGAATCAGTGAGATCCATCCACTGGGTTCATTTTGAGAGACAGCACCATGGTAGATTCTTCTTTCTTTATTGCCAAGAACCAACTCCCTGGACAGCCAGACTGGTTATTCAATACTCCTTTGCTCTCTGCCTTATTAGGCCCTGACGATCTCGAAGATCTCTCACTTGTGTCCAATGAGAACCTTACAGATCTACCTTAAAGCTTCAGATAGCATACGTTGCTTACGCAAGAGTTTGTTTATCTCCTTGTTGACCACTGCTGAGACTAAGTATCCCGGACCATGGCATTCTTTTCCTATGCTCGGTCATCTTACATGCCTACACTTTCCCAGGGTAACTGTCCCAGTGGTCTCCAATCAGCATGAGATGAAGGCAGTGGTGTCGATGTATGTTATCGTCGATAATGGAAGATTGCTTCTAGAAGTCAGGCACAGTGTTTGACCTTAGGGACATGTCGGTCTTAGATGTACAAGGCCTTCATCAGTTTAGACCACTGGTATAGGTGTAGATGAAGATCCAAACGGATCGCATTCCTTATCATGTACTTACAGAAATATATAATCAAGTACATGTGGCTTGTTTATTGTTTCTTATAGATAGGGTTCCAAGACTTGAATTCCCAGAAGAGGGAAAACATGCTTGTCTGTAGAGACTTCTTCATGGACGTCACCATAGCGTCTGGCAAGTTGTATTAATGGTGTTCTCATCTTCTAAATGCTAACCTCTGTCTCTGTGTATGTTATGACTGTACGGGTATGGTTGATCGTTCCCTCTTCTCGTTCTAAGCGTACTCAATCTCTGCAGATTGATAGCTTTGACAAAGGGTCAAAAGAGATGCCAAGCTGGCCAACCTTACATCTGTTGGACCGTATTGTGTGAGGACTGTCTTGCAGAACTTACTGGCCAGAGAAAGGGTGAAAAGGGGTAGGTTAAAGTTGTGTCTGAATAGGCTTCCACTTGTTCAAAGCTAAACAGTTGTTCAGTAGATCCACGTCCTGTGCAAAACCACAGAACACATGAGTTACCGGATAACATGTTGTATCTGTCCTAGTAGTACAAAAGGATTTTAAGAAGCAACACAAGTCTTTCTATTACAACACTAAAACATATGACAATTATTGGATTGGATCATAGTTTAGACTAGGGATCTGCACCAACCATCCAACCATGGGATGAATGCATAGTTTGGGATATTATAAGTCTAAAATTTAATTTTTTTACAATTTACACTGTATTGTATATTTATATACTTATCCCCTCTAACATGCTAAACACCCACCCAACCATATCCGCATCACAGTTACACCAGGCTGTACAAAGGGAGTGTGCTGTGTACATCATGTGATATGGTTGGATGGGATTCAGGCAGTGTTCGTCAAACCATTGTTTGTGGGGTGACCATGGTGACGACTAGGATGTGTTGGGGTGAGATATTTTTTGAAGCTGGAAACCTGATTTAGGAGCGTTTCAAGTGAGTGAGTGAGTGAGTATGGTTTTACATCGCTTTTAGCGATATTCCAGCAATATCACGGCGAGAGACACCAGAAATGGGCTTCACACATTGTACCAATGTTGGGAATCGAACCCGGGTGTTCGACATGACGAGTGAACACTTTAACCACTAGGCTACCTGACCGCCCAGGAGCGTTTCAATACCGCGATGGAAGAAGAAGGATAAAATGCATAGTGTGAGATTGAATAAGTATATAAATATACAATTTATTGTAAAATTTTCAAATTTAACGGAGTGAACTGTCAGTTTGTCGCCCCCACCTCTTTTGCTGTGCCATTTTTTTATGACACCCATGTTCTACATGTGTCTGTATTCCTCTCGATAGTAGTGGGGATTTGGTGGTCGCACTGGGGACTTTGTGAGAATAGTAATTGGATAGGGGACCATTTTTGGAAGACCAACTTAACTAGATCTAGATAGATATCACATCTAAGAAAAAACAAAAATGTCATCTCCCACTATTCCATACCCAGTCACTAAAGCAGTAACACTGTTAAACAAAATGGAAATTCTCAACATATTCAGTACATTACATAAACTGAGTTAAAACTGCCAATAGTGAGATATTGATCTTTAGACCATTGTATCTACTGTTACTGTGGTTTTGAATTGTTTAAATCCTTGTTACCCGTGAAGATTGGGTAGGATTGGGTGGTCAGGCTCACTGAGTTGGTTGATACATGTCATCGATTCCAATTGCGTGGATCTATGCTCATGATGCCAATCACTGGATTGTCTGGTCCAGACTCGAATATTTAGACCTAGAATTTTAGCTGGAATATTTCTGAGTGTGGCGTTAAACAACAAACAAACAAATTCCTTGTTTACCATGTTTTGTTTTTATTTTTAAGGCTGCTGAGAAAGCTATTAAATCTGTCTGGTTCAACCGAAATGCGAATGTGGCAGACGGACTGCGAAACCATGACATAACGATCACATCACGAGGATTGAACAATCCCCAATTATCAGAGTTGGCATCCCAGCTGCAATGTTTAATCGGTGACTTCAACAGAATGCGCTACCCAGATAGACTTTCCTTTCCAAGTATTCCTGCTGATGTGTACACGGATGACAATGCAAGGCAGGCATGTCAAGTTGCACAGAAAATTCTTAACCTGGTGAAAGAGTTACTGGATCATGATTGAGGTGAGATCTTTATACTGGACCAATTTAGCTGTGGCTTGCCTTTTTTGTTTAGCTCATCTGGACTGAGCGGCCATGTCAGCTTTTGTCATGAGTTGTCCGTCATATTCCGTCGTCGGTGTAGGTCATAAACATTTTACAATTTTGAACTTTTATTGGATTTTTTTGTTATTATCAAGGGTTCAAATTTGTTCAAGGAATTAAAATTTCGAATTCCAATATACCGGTATCCACCAGGTATCCATCTTTGATTAAGAATACAAAAAGTTAAAATTTGTCTCCGAAAAAAAAGAAAAGTGGTGGGTGAGATGGTCACCTTCTGCAGTACGAACTTTGTTAAAGGTATTTTGTTCACATGTTGTAGGATGAAATTTAGTACTTGTCATCCTGAGGCTGTGGAATTACAAGGGACTTTCAGGTTGTCTCATATTAGACATGTTTATTTCCCAAACATGAAATGTACTTATTAAACCACAAGTACATATAACTTTCTTCTTATTAATGTTAAAGACAGGGTACTTTCTGTTTTAAACATGACATGTATACTTCCAAAACAAAAGGGATATCATTCAACCTGAAGTCTGTACAGCTTTCACATTAAGGTAACTGGAGGCTAAGGACTTTCTGTTTTAAAGTTGTCTTGCATTAGAAATGTGAAAGGGAAGTTATGAAACAGGAATTATACGATGAATTTGGGATTCTGGTTGGTCATTTACAGGTATCAAATCACAATAATCACCTTTGGTTGAAACAGCTGATTTGATGATCACATCACTCTGAAAGATAATAGATGATCTATATACTGAAACAGGCAGATATGAAGGTATTGCAAGAGATCATAGACTTTGTAGGATTAGTCAAACTGATTGCATTGAAGATGAACATCACTTTTTATCATATAATGGGTAGGTTTCTTGGCAGGATAAAGCCAACGGATAAAAACGATATCCGTTGGGGTTATATGCGGATAGAGATGCAAATATCAAAGGTCAAGTGGGGACTACTTTCACTGCTTATAAACAAACATGGCGTCGCCCTCGGCATTCGGCAATCGAGTCAGAATTAACCATCGGGAATGTGGATAAACTACAGGGATAATTGCTATCGTTATCAAAAGATTTGTCTAATATACTGAAAATCAGTGTCTAACTGTGACGTAGCTAAGGCATTTTATAAGTTTTGGCAACTTTGGAGATATAAATTTCAAAACAATTTTGTGAGGGCACGAGGCCTAGCCAAGCGGGATCAGTAGCCATATCTGTGCTTGTAGACCTCTGCGGCTTGAAACCTTCTCCACAAATTAAAATAGTTGGATTTGGCCGAAATATGTTTGAATTGTTACCTTGTTTCGTTTTGTTGCTGTGTGTACATCTGACTACACTTCTTAACGTTATGACAGGACAGACCGACTGTCAACAACGTCTGACCGTTGCCGTGACGTCTCATAGACTAGGGTTAGAGTAGCTTCCCTTTGATAAAGGGCAGTTACTCTAGCGGACAGACCGATGGATTGCCGCGAAAGGCAATGAAAAAACAATTGTTGTTTTGCGTATAAGTTGCTTCGCCACTGTATAAGAAACAGATTTCAGTTGGTACTATATTGGCTACTGTCACTGTCCGACTGACACATCACTTACCCTGTGACGTAATAAATATTAATGCGCGCATTCCAGGAAAACTCGCAATGTTTCGGTAATGTTTGTGAGAGAGGGAAATCAATTTTGAAACACAGAATTAAAGAATGACATTATATGATAAAGAGGTTATCATGCTTGTGTGTTTGGGGATGGTAAATATCCTGTGTTAGGAATAAACACTATGTATTTAGCTCGCCAAGGCTCGCTAAATACAATGTTTATTCCTAATGCAGGATATTTACCATCCCCAAACACACTCGCGTGATAACCTCTATTTATGTGTATATCCAGTGTATATTGATTTAAGAGCAAAATATCTAAATAACTATTTCTACCACAACCCAAACTGTAACAAATTTCGTAAATTAATGACTCTTGACGTTGAGAAATTCATCAATGTTCATTTTTCATGCTATGAAACAAAGAAAATGTATGAATTTGTAACACGCCCAAGACAATGCACTACAGGCCTTTGGCCTCATCAGTACCATGAATAAAGTTTGATTGAAAGATAACAGAACAGTACTTCCTTTCTCAGTTATTGATGATAGGCATTTAAGATAATTACCTAGAAGTACAATTATAGTTTATATAATGCAGATTTGTGGTAATAAAATAGTATTCTGTTGCAAAACATTTTAATTTAATTTTGCAGTTTGGGCAGAAATCTCAAAATATTTTGCTACCGCCATCTTGCTTTGTAGCTATGGACATTGCGTAATAGCTCAAAACATTACTAAGAATGCTAACTAAAGAGGAAGGGCCTGCTGTCGCTTTAAGGACCTTCATCATGTAATGAAAACAAATTCATCTATCTAAAATGTTTTCCAGTTGTTCCTCGGTTTGTCAATTTCTGGACTATCTCAAGATGAAGTTTAAATTTAGTCGCCGAAGTGTTTTTATTGATGGGAGGCAATCAATAGGTTCCTACAGATCACAAAATTATAATTAAGATAGCATATGCCATCTGAATTAGTTGCAACTTGGACTTCAAACAGAATTAAATGAGCAACATTTGTAGAGGTTGTCAATAGGATGCTCCAGCAAAACTTTGACATCTTGAACATCGTGGTAAAGGAGAAAATTGCAGAAAAAAATTTGAGTAGGTGAAAGTTTTTCATGGATGACAAAATGGCCACTGCAACATGGCCATTGAAGCATAAAGGCAAGGCACCTACAGCCTGTCAAAGAGGTTTCTTTCTTTGCGTAAGACTACTTAAATGGTACATGACCGTGAAACCCCCGTATTACCAAACACTGTCCTTTGTAGTGGAAAGACCTTTGTACTTTTACCATGCAATATAAAAACTATGTTGTTTTACATTCTTGAAAATCAAATTTTACAAATAATTTGAAAAAAATCTAAATTTTTAAACTGATCATATCTCACACTTTGCGTTTCTTCTTCAATCATTTGTTGAAACGTGCTTGAAACATGTTTCCAATTTCTGAAATAAAGACATTCAGCTGAAAACACTCCAGCGTCTCCATGTTTACGTCCAGCAGCTAGGTCGATTACATGCTACCATGCATGGATATAACTCTGCCAACTCATTTGGGTCTCATGGCCATTGTGTGTTTGACATGTTTTGACATCTAGGAGAAGTTTGTTTGAACTGTCGTGTGAATAAATACACAGCCTACATACATGGGCGAAAAGGGCAGACAATGGCCAGTATGTAAGCGCACATATTCAACATTGGACCCTCATTCCTTGTGTTGTGATTTTCGTGGGAACTCACGAGTGCCATGCTTCTATCTTCAGCGATGTCGTTGTAGATTATCAGACCGGTGTTCTAAGGCCAAGGATTTAACTTTGAAATCCCAGACCGGGTCTATAGCCAAATCAGTTGCATCCATCACTGATGATACTATCTCTGACAGCATCCTCACAGATGACATTTCCTATTTACCGATCCCGCTCTTGCTCACACTCCTCTTGCAGCGACCGATTGCGCTCCCGTTTCCGACACCACACTTGGAATCTTCATGTTCCCCTCCTACAGGCGATTGCGAGAAGGACGATAGTTCTCCTCTCGGGGACACTCCTGATCATCATGCTCAGGATCAATTTGATTCTGATAACAAAGATGGGCGTTTCCAGGATCGTCATTCAAGATTGGGCCACCGCTCTCGCTCTCACACTGTATGATCACTTGATAACGAACATTCGCACTGTTCCTATGCTCAGCGCTCTCCTGAAGGACGAGCATCTCGGGACGATCGTCATAGCTCACAATCCTTGTCCACTTCGTATGACCATTCCTCGGCTCTTTCACCCTCGGGAAGCTCTACTTTTGACGGGTTTGGTTCTCCAATGTTGGTGTTTACAACTATGGGAGCTATCAGAGATTCGATACCTACACATATTGTAGACAGGGATTAGATACCGACTCGGATCGTAGACAATGATAGCGACCTGGATACCTGTATCCACCAAGCTTTCCCGACTACCGCTCTACCACTGGCTACGGTTACTCTCCACTTTGCCATCCTCCTCTGAAAGCTAAGGATCATAGGTCATCAATGCCTAGGGAACTGGTACATCGAAGCCATGAGGTATACACATGGTTGGCTCAAGCAAGCTTGCCATGCACGGGAGCAGGCAATTGATTTAGCTGCTAGTCGTAACCATGGAGGTGTGTTCGGGTGAATCTGTTTATTTTAGAAGCTTGAAACATGTTTCCACATAGGATTGAAGAAGAAGTAATGCAAAATGTGAGATAAGATACAATTTATACTAAAATGTCCAATATTCTCAAGAACCACAAGGTGTAGCAAGCTGACATTTTGTGTGAATGGTTATTGCTAAAAAAAATTCAAGATTCAAGGAATCATGATTAGCACTCAACTCCAAACCTGGTGCTATAGACAATGCTTGAAACATAAGGTTTTTCATTTATCTATTTCATCAATTTTGCTAACTTGATAAATATTGACCTTTATCACCATAATTGAACATTGAAATATTTCATTATAATTGAGGTGAGGTACAGAGCCTTGTGGATTTTCATGGTTCAAAATGCTGTAAAGGTACTATCTAGAGCTATGTTACCTCTAAATTTTATGGCACTAAATCAAACGTTCTTCACCTTGGCCTATTTTTATTTCCTAATTTAGACCAGAATCCTACATTTTGAGAAATGTATAAAACAGGTATGTGATATTATGATCAATGGAAGTGTGATTGAATAAAATGTTATTTCCTTTTTCATCAACAGATTGACAAACTCATTTCAAGATCTTCAGGAACCTGGACAGTTAAGAAGTATAGACCATCATTTTGTCAGCAGTCTGATCAAATGTTGAAATATGTTTTGAATGTTTTTTGTCAATTTTTTTAAGAGTATATTTATTGTTCTTTGCATGTTTAATTGTATTCAAAATAGCCAAGAAGCTAGTATACAAACATGAACTAATTCATGAGTTACCATTAGTCCATATTAGAGATACCATTGACAATGGATGTTGTCCTCACCAGTTATTCAACACTTCATAACAGTTAAACTTTGATAATATTGCTAAAAAAAACAAAACAATAAACTCTCATTAAACTTTATGTTGCTCTATGTTAACTCAACAAAGTGTACATTTGGTTAAATTGATAAGCAATAGTCTTGTCGTGTCCCACGTGAACCCCGTCAAGTGTAAATACAGTGAATGAGCCAGAAGTTATGTTTTGAGTGAGTTATACATATTCCTATCAAATATATATAGTCAAATGAATACTTTGTGATCTTGTTTTATCCTTTACTCACCGTCTCAACCCTAAATACTTTGAATGAGACAGATGATTTTGTTCTGAGTTCGTTATACATAACCCTATGAAGTGTAAATACAATGAATAAAACAAATGGTAAGTGTTCTGAGTTGGTCATACATAACCCTATGAAGTGTAAATACAGTGAATGAGATCAATGTTTCATGTTTTGATATGGTCATGCATTAACTGGATCAAGTGTTAATACAGTAACATAGATACCTAGTGGTCTTGTTTTGTCTTTTGCTTACTGTCTCAACCCTAAATACCTTGAATGAGACTAATGATTAGTGTTTTGAGTTGGTCATACATAACCCCATGAAGTGTAAATACAGTGAATAAAACAAATGGTTAGTGTTCAGAGTTGGTCATACATAACCCTATGAATTGTAAATACAGTGAATATATCAAATTGTTAGTGTCCTGAGTTGGTCATACATAACCCTATGAAGTGTAAATACACTGAATGAGACCAATGTTTCATGTTTTGATATGGTCATGCATTAACTGGATCAAGTGTTAATACAGTAACATAGATACCTAGTGGTCTTGTTTTGTCTTTTGCTTACTGTCTCAACCCTAAATACCTTGAATGAGACTAATGATTAGTGTTTTGAGTTGGTCATACATAACCCCATGAAGTGTAAATACAGTGAATAAAACAAATGGTTAGTGTTCAGAGTTGGTCATACATAACCTAATGAAGTGTAAATACAGTGAATAAAACAGATGGTTAGTGTTCTGAGTTGGTCATACATAACCCTATGAAGTGTAAATACAGTGAATATAACAGATGGTTAGTGTTTTGAGTTGGTCATACATAACCCTATGAAGTGTAAATACAGTGAATAAAACAGACGATTAGTGTTTTGAGTTGGTCATACATAACCCTATGAAGTGTATATAGTCAAATGGATACTTTGTGATCTTGTTTTATCCTTTGCTCACCTTCTCAACCCTAAATACCCGGAATGAGACAGATGATTAGTGTTTTGAGTTGGTCATACATAGCCCTATGAAGTGTAAATACAGTGAATAAAACAGATGGTTAGTGTTCAGAGTTGGTCATACATAACCTAATGAAGGGTAAATACAGTGAATAAAACAGATGGTTAGTGTTCTGAGTTGGTCATACATAACCCTATGAAGTGTAAATACAGTGAATATAACAGATGGTTAGTGTTTTGAGTTGGTCATACATAACCCTATGAAGTGTAAATACAGTGAATAAAACAGACGATTAGTGTTTTGAGTTGGTCATACATAACCCTATGAAGTGTATATAGTCAAATGGATACTTTGTGATCTTGTTTTATCCTTTGCTCACCTTCTCAACCCTAAATACCCGGAATGAGACAGATGATTAGTGTTTTGAGTTGGTCATACATAGCCCTATGAAGTGTAAATACAGTGAATAAAACAGATGGTTAGTGTCTTGAGTTGGTCATACATAACCCTATGAAGTGTAAATACAGTGAATAGAACAGACAGTTAGTGTTCTGAGTTCGTCATACATAACCCTATGAAGTGTAAATACAGTGAATGAGATCAATGTTTCATGTTTTGATATGGTCATGCATTAACTGGATCAAGTGTTAATACAGTAATATAGATACCTAGTGGTCTTGTTTTCTCTTTTGCTTAATGTCTCAACCCTAAATACTTTGAATGAGACTAATGATTAGTGTTTTGAGTTGATCATACATAACCCTATGAAGTGTAAATACAGTGAATAAAACAGATGATTAGTGTTCTGAGTTGGTTATATATAACCCTATGAAGTGTAAATACAGTGAATAGAACAGACAGCTAGTGTTCTGAGTTGGTCATACATAACCCTATGAAGTGTAAATACAGTGAATGAGATCAATGTTTCATGTTTTGATATGGTCATGCATTAACTGGATCAAGTGTTAATACAGTAACATAGATACCTAGTGGTCTTGTTTTGTCTTTTCCTCGCTGTCACAACCCTATAGACCTTGAATAAGACTGATGATTAGTGTTTTGAGTTGGTCATACATAACCCTATCAAGTGTAAAAACAGTGAATGAGATCAGTGTTTCATGTTTTGATATGGTCATGCATTAACTGGATCAAGTGTTAATTCAGTAACATAGATACCTAGTGGTCTTGTTTTGTCTTTTGCTCGCTGTCACAACCCTATATACCTTGAATGAGACTAATGATTAGTGTCTTGAGTTGGTCATACATAACCCTATGAAGTGTAAATACAGTGAATAAAACAGATGGTTAGTGTTTTGAGTTGGTCATACATAACCCTATGAAGTGTAAATACAGTGAATTAAACAAATGGTTAGTGTTTTGAGTTGGTCATACATAAACCTATGAAGTGTAAATACAGTGAATTAAACAAATGGTTAGTGTTCTGAGTTGGTCATACATAACCCTATGAAGTGTAAATACAGTGCATATAACAGATGGTTAGTGTTCTGAGTTGGTCATACATAACCCTATGAAGTGTAAATACAGTGCATATAACAGATGGTTAGTGTTCTGAGTTGGTCATACATAACCCTATGAAGTGTAAATACAGTGCATATAACAGATGGTTAGTGTTCTAGGTTGGTCATACATAACCCTATGAAGTGTAAATACAGTGAATAAAACAAATGGTTAGTGTCCTGAGTTGGTCATACATAACCCTATGAAGTGTTAATACAGTGAATGAGATCAATGTTTCATGTTTTGATATGGTCATGCATTAACTGGATCAAGTGTTAATACAGTAACATAGATACGTAGTGGTCTTGTTTTGTCTTTTGCTCACTGTCTCAACCCTAAATACCTTGAATGAGACAGATGATTAGTGTTTTGAGACCCATGAAGTGTAAATACAGTGAATTAAACAGACGGTTAGTGTTCTGAGTTGGTCATACATAACCCTATGAAGTGTAAATACAGTGAATAAAACAGATGGTTAGTGTTCTGAGTTGGTTATGCATAAGCCTATGAAGTGTAAATACAGTTAATAAAACAGATGGTTAGTGTTTTGAGTTGGTCATACATAACCCTATGAAGTGTAAATACAGTGAATAAAACAGACGATTAGTGTTTTGAGTTGGTCATACATAACCCTATGAAGTGTATATAGTCAAATGGATACTTTGTGATCTTGTTTTATCCTTTGCTCACCTTCTCAACCCTAAATACCCGGAATGAGACAGATGATTAGTGTTTTGAGTTGGTCATACATAGCCCTATGAAGTGTAAATACAGTGAATAAAACAGATGGTTAGTGTTCAGAGTTGGTCATACATAACCTAATGAAGGGTAAATACAGTGAATAAAACAGATGGTTAGTGTTCTGAGTTGGTCATACATAACCCTATGAAGTGTAAATACAGTGAATATAACAGATGGTTAGTGTTTTGAGTTGGTCATACATAACCCTATGAAGTGTAAATACAGTGAATAAAACAGACGATTAGTGTTTTGAGTTGGTCATACATAACCCTATGAAGTGTATATAGTCAAATGGATACTTTGTGATCTTGTTTTATCCTTTGCTCACCTTCTCAACCCTAAATACCCGGAATGAGACAGATGATTAGTGTTTTGAGTTGGTCATACATAGCCCTATGAAGTGTAAATACAGTGAATAAAACAGATGGTTAGTGTCTTGAGTTGGTCATACATAACCCTATGAAGTGTAAATACAGTGAATAGAACAGACAGTTAGTGTTCTGAGTTCGTCATACATAACCCTATGAAGTGTAAATACAGTGAATGAGATCAATGTTTCATGTTTTGATATGGTCATGCATTAACTGGATCAAGTGTTAATACAGTAATATAGATACCTAGTGGTCTTGTTTTCTCTTTTGCTTAATGTCTCAACCCTAAATACTTTGAATGAGACTAATGATTAGTGTTTTGAGTTGATCATACATAACCCTATGAAGTGTAAATACAGTGAATAAAACAGATGATTAGTGTTCTGAGTTGGTTATATATAACCCTATGAAGTGTAAATACAGTGAATAGAACAGACAGCTAGTGTTCTGAGTTGGTCATACATAACCCTATGAAGTGTAAATACAGTGAATGAGATCAATGTTTCATGTTTTGATATGGTCATGCATTAACTGGATCAAGTGTTAATACAGTAACATAGATACCTAGTGGTCTTGTTTTGTCTTTTCCTCGCTGTCACAACCCTATAGACCTTGAATAAGACTGATGATTAGTGTTTTGAGTTGGTCATACATAACCCTATCAAGTGTAAAAACAGTGAATGAGATCAGTGTTTCATGTTTTGATATGGTCATGCATTAACTGGATCAAGTGTTAATTCAGTAACATAGATACCTAGTGGTCTTGTTTTGTCTTTTGCTCGCTGTCACAACCCTATATACCTTGAATGAGACTAATGATTAGTGTCTTGAGTTGGTCATACATAACCCTATGAAGTGTAAATACAGTGAATAAAACAGATGGTTAGTGTTTTGAGTTGGTCATACATAACCCTATGAAGTGTAAATACAGTGAATTAAACAAATGGTTAGTGTTTTGAGTTGGTCATACATAAACCTATGAAGTGTAAATACAGTGAATTAAACAAATGGTTAGTGTTCTGAGTTGGTCATACATAACCCTATGAAGTGTAAATACAGTGCATATAACAGATGGTTAGTGTTCTGAGTTGGTCATACATAACCCTATGAAGTGTAAATACAGTGCATATAACAGATGGTTAGTGTTCTGAGTTGGTCATACATAACCCTATGAAGTGTAAATAAAGTGAATAAAACAAATGGTTAGTGTCCTGAGTTGGTCATACATAACCCTATGAAGTGTTAATACAGTGAATGAGATCAATGTTTCATGTTTTGATATGGTCATGCATTAACTGGATCAAGTGTTAATACAGTAACATAGATACGTAGTGGTCTTGTTTTGTCTTTTGCTCACCGTCTCAACCCTAAATACCTTGAATGAGACAGATGATTAGTGTTTTGAGACCCATGAAGTGTAAATACAGTGAATTAAACAGACGGTTAGTGTTCTGAGTTGGTCATACATAACCCTATGAAGTGTAAATACAGTGAATAAAACAGATGGTTAGTGTTCTGAGTTGGTTATGCATAAGCCTATGAAGTGTAAATACAGTTAATAAAACAGACGGTTAGTGTCTTGAGTTGTTCATACATAACCCTATGAAGTGTAAATACAGTGAATAAAACAGACGGTTAGTGTCTTGAGTTGGTCATACATAACCCTATGAAGTGTAAATACAGTGAATAAAACAAATGGTTAGTGTTTTGAGTTGGTCATACATAACCCTATGAAGTGTAAATACAGTGAATGAGATCATTGTTTCATGTTTTGATATGGTCATGCATTAACTGGATCAAGTGTAAATACAGTAACATAGATACCTAGTGGTCTTGTTTTGTCTTTTGCTCACTGTCTCAACCCTAAATACCTTCAATGAGACTGATGATTAGTGTTTTTAGTTGGTTATACATAACCCTATGAAGTGTAAATACAGTGAATAAAACAGATGGTTAGTGTTGTAAGTGGTTAATTCATAACCCTATGAAGTGTAAATACAGTGAATAGAAGAGACAGTTAGTGTTCTGAGTTCGTCACACATAACCCTATTAAGTGTAAATACAGTGAATTTAACAGATGGTTAGTGTTTTGAGTTGGTCATACATAACCCTATAAAGTGTATATAGTCAAATGGTAACTTTGTGATCTTGTTTTATCCTTTGCTCACCGTCTCAACCCTAAATACCTTGAATGAGACAGATGATTAGTGTTTTGAGTTGGTCATACATAACCCTATGAAGTGTAAATACAGTGAATAAAACAAATGGTTAGTGTTCAGAGTTGGTCATACATAACCCTGTTAAGTGTAAATGCAGTGAATAAAACAAACGATTAGTGTTCAGAGTTGGTCATACATAACCCTGTGAAGTGTAAATACAGTGAATAAAACAAATGGTTAGTGTTCTGAGTTGGTCATTCATAACCCTATGAAGTGTAAATACAGTGAATGAGATCAATGTTTCATGTTTTGATATGGTCATGCATTAACTGGATCAAGTGTAAATACAGTAACATAGATACCTAGTGGTCTTGTTTTGTCTTTTGCTCACTGTCTCAACCCTAAATACCTTCAATGAGACTGATGATTAGTGTTTTAAGTTGGTCATACATAACCCTATGAAGTGTAAATACAGTGAATAAAACAGATGGTTGGTGTTCTGAGTTGGTCATACATAACCCTATGAAGTGTAAATACAGTGAATGAGATCAATGTTTCATGTTTTGATATGGTCATGCATTAACTGGATCAAGTGTAAATACAGTAACATAGATACCTAGTGGTCTTGTTTTGTCTTTTGCTCACTGTCTCAACCCTAAATACCTTCAATGAGACTGATGATTAGTGTTTTAAGTTGGTCATACATAACCCTATGAAGTGTAAATACAGTGAATAAAACAGATGGTTGGTGTTCTGAGTTGGTCATACATAACCCTATGAAGTGTAAATACAGTGAATAGAAGAGACAGTTAGTGTTCTGAGTTCGTCACACATAACCCTATTAAGTGTAAATACAGTGAATTTAACAAATGGTTAGTGTTTTGAGTTGGTCATACATAACCCTATGAAGTGTATATAGTCAAATGGTAACTTTGTGATCTTGTTTTATCCTTTGCTCACCGTCTCAACCCTAAATACCTTGAATGAGACAGATGATTAGTGTTTTGAGTTGGTCATACATAACCCTATGAAGTGTAAATACAGTGAATAAAACAAATGGTTAGTGTTCAGAGTTGGTCATACATAACCCTGTTAAGTGTAAATGCAGTGAATAAAACAAACGATTAGTGTTCAGAGTTGGTCATACATAACCCTGTGAAGTGTAAATACAGTGAATAAAACAAATGGTTAGTGTTCTGAGTTGGTCATTCATAACCCTATGAAGTGTAAATACAGTGAATGAGATCAATGTTTCATGTTTTGATATGGTCATGCATTAACTGGATCAAGTGTAAATACAGTAACATAGATACCTAGTGGTCTTGTTTTGTCTTTTGCTCACTGTCTCAACCCTAAATACCTTCAATGAGACTGATGATTAGTGTTTTAAGTTGGTCATACATAACCCTATGAAGTGTAAATACAGTGAATAAAACAGATGGTTGGTGTTCTGAGTTGGTCATACATAACCCTATGAAGTGTAAATACAGTGAATAGAAGAGACAGTTAGTGTTCTGAGTTCGTCATACATAACCCTATTAAGTGTAAATACAGTGAATATAACAGACGATTAGTGTTTTGAGTTGGTCATACATAACCCTATGAAGTGTATATAGTCAAATGGTAACTTTGTGATCTTGTTTTATAATTTGCTCACCGTCTCAACCCTAAATACCTTGAATGAGACTAATGATTAGTGTTTTGAGACCCTATGAAGTGTAAATACATGAATAAAACAAATGGTTAGTGTTCTGAGTTGGTCATACATAACCCTATGAAGTTTTAATACAGTGCATAAAACAGCTGATTAGTATTCTGAGTTGGTCATACATAACCCTATGAAGTGTAAATATAGTGAATAAAACAAACGATTAGTGTTTTGAGTTGGTCATACATAACCCTATGAAGTGTATATAGTCAAATTGTAACTTTGTGATCTTGTTTTATCCTTTGCTCACCGTCTCAACCCTAAATACTTTGAATGAGACAGATGATTAGTGTTTTGAGTTGGTCATACATAACCCTATGAAGAGTAAATACAGTGAATAAAACAGATGGTTAGTGTTCTGAGTTCGTCATACATAACCCTATGAAGTGTAAATACAGTGAATAAAACAAACGATTAGTGTTTTGAGTTGGTCATACATAACCCTATGAAGTGTATATAGTCAAATGGATATTTTGTGATCTTGTTTTATAATTTGCTCACCATCTCAACCCTAAATACCTTGAATGAGACTAATGATTAGTGTTTTGAGACCCTATGAAGTGTGAATACGTGAATAAAACAAATGGTTAGTGTTCTGAGTTGGTCATACATAACCCTATAAAGTGTATATAGTCAAATGGTAACTTTGTGATCTTCTTTTATCCTTTGCTCACCGTCTCAACCCTAAATACCTTGAATGAGACAGATGATTAGTGTTTTGAGTTCATCATACATAACCCTATGAAGTGTAAATACAGTGAATAAAACAAATGGTTAGTGTTCAGAGTTGGTCATACATAACCCTGTTAAGTGTAAATGCAGTGAATAAAACAAACGATTAGTGTTCAGAGTTGGTCATACATAACCCTGTGAAGTGTAAATACAGTGAATAAAACAAATGGTTAGTGTTCTGAGTTGGTCATTCATAACCCTATGAAGTGTAAATACAGTGAATGAGATCAATGTTTCATGTTTTGATATGGTCATGCATTAACTGGATCAAGTGTAAATACAGTAACATAGATACCTAGTGGTCTTGTTTTGTCTTTTGCTCACTGTCTCAACCCTAAATACCTTCAATGAGACTGATGATTAGTGTTTTAAGTTGGTCATACATAACCCTATGAAGTGTAAATACAGTGAATAAAACAGATGGTTGGTGTTCTGAGTTCATCATACATAACCCTATGAAGTGTAAATACAGTGAATAGAAGAGACAGTTAGTGTTCTGAGTTCGTCACACATAACCCTATTAAGTGTAAATACAGTGAATATAACAGACGATTAGTGTTTTGAGTTGGTCATAC